GGTGCTCAGCCCTGCTCTCCCTCTGCAGGGCCATGGGACTCATGCTATTGAATTCCAAAGGGAGCAAAATCTGGCCCTTTAGAATGGCTAGATGCAAAGTGCAGTGTAGCGTAATGACATGGGTTCAAAGTGGCTTTGACAAGCACATACTTCAAAGTGCTGAAGGGGCAGGGGGAGAATTTGTACTTGGCTGTACATTTGGTATATCATTTTAAAATGTGGCTCTAATATTGCAGCCCTATACTTTTCTACTCAGAAGTAAGTCCGGCTGAGCTTAGCAACGTAAGCAGGTATATAGCACTGCAGCCTAAATTTGCTTTTTAGGTGACCTGCAGCGGAGAGCAAAAAGGCTGCATACACACCATGTTGAAAGGAAAACAAGGATTAAATCACTAAAATTAGCCACTGGTGAGGAAACTATCCCAGATAATAGCTACGGTTCAGCACAGCCTTGCCTAGATTTGCATGACCAAATGCCTAGGAGAACAAGATCTGTTTTAACCTGGCACCAAAATCTCACCAGAGCTAGAGCATTCCTTGCCACCAACGGAAGGGAATTCCTCATGGAAGTCAGGGAACTCTCCAGAATGACCTAGAATTTGCCATGAGGAGCTGCAAGTGAGATGAGGAAACCAGCAAAAGTTAGGTGGGGGCAGCTTCTGCAAAGCCACATTCTCTGTCATTCCAGAAGTTTCCGCCAACTCTCATGAGTGACAGGCAGTGGGGACTAAAGTGCTTACACAGGTGGGTAAGTAAAGCTTTGTTCTGCAAGCAGAGTTCTTGAATCCAAGCTTGTATCACTCTTGAAGTTACTCCTGATTGAAGCCAGGGCCAGAGTATGGACAGATCAGAATGGGGAAATTCTGTATGCCTCATTGTATCATAGAGTTGGAAGCGATCCCAATGGTCATCTAGTCCAATGCAGGAATATTTTGCCCAATGTGGGGCTCAAACCCACGACCCTGAGATTAAGAGTCTCATGCTCTACTGACTGAGCTATCCCATCAGTTTGAATTACTTACATATAGTGGTGTTTGTGAAAGTGATTCTTCTCCACTGAACCCAATCTTTTACTTGTTTGGAGACTTTAGAGAAGAAGGGAATACGCACACAACCCCAAAAAGGGAAATAAGAAAACCCTTAATGTTAGTAATGAGCCTTGTGCTTCCAGATGTTGCAGTTCCCCAAGTAATTTAAACATCACTCCCTCCCCTCTCAGCTTTGCAAAAGGTTCCTTACACGACTAAAAGATTTGTATAATCACCAGAGCCTCCATTCATGGGCCACCATAATTTTCCCCCAGAGAAAGGGGAAGTTTCAGTGTAGCACTTAAAATAATTAAAAATGTTTATTTGAAAGTCAAAACAGCCCTGGCCCTTAATAATGATTTGCTTTTCTCAATTGACTGCGCTAAGTCCCCACCGGACACTCCTGGGACGATCTTTATTTGTTCCCTGTTGGGATTAATCCATAAATGCAGTCTCCACGTGGAGCTCCTTGGGTCTTTGTTTCTTCCTCCTCATTGGTCTCTCTGGAATTGTAGCATAGTCTAAAGATCAAAATGAGGATGAGGTTTATTTATTTATTTTTGCCTTGAGAGCGAAAAGGGCTTAGGGGTTTTAATTGGTTTTTCAGAATTTTATACGGTGAATATGGCTCCGATATTGCACCCAGTTTTTAAAGAAAGTAACGTTAAGAGTTGCCAGATGAGTAACGCTGCGTGATTTTTTATTTTGTTTTGTTTTTTGCAGCAAGAACAACAAAGAGTCTCGTGGACACCTTAAAGCCTAACACAGTCTTTTGTAGGCCAGAATCCACTTCCTCAGGTGCATGAAACGTAACAGAGGAAAACACTTCCTGCATCTGATGAAGTGGGCCCTGGTTCACAAAAGCTTATGACACGATAAACTTGTTATCCTTCAAGCTGCCACTCCTTGTTGTTTGATAAAATTGTGAAGATCACCTATGTAAATAGGGATTCTCACTGGTTTGTAGTGATTAACTGATGCTGGAAGCAGTCCTCTAAAATGGAATGCGGAAGCTGTACAATGTTACAGCCTGAGGCTGCATTCACACAGCAGTTTATTCTGTTTCCAATATTCCAATGTTAATTTCTGCATTATATTTGGGCATCAAATCCACTTCCAGAAATCTAGCAGAAGTTTAGTGCTCATTTCTGTGCTAATTGCTTCCAGAAACAATCCATTTGCAACCCCATTAAACCAGAAAATTGTGGCAGTAGAGTGACAAAATTTGGGGCGGTATACCAGAAGATATAAGTCATGTCAGACTAACCTGATCTCGTTTTTTGACAGAATTACAAGCCTGGTAGATGAAGGGAACGCAGTGGATGTAGCCTACCTTGATTTCAGCAAGGCATTTGACAAGGTGCCCCATGATATTCTTGTAAAGAAGCTGGTAAAATGCGGTCTTGACTATGCTACCACTCAGTGGATTTGTAACTGGCTGACTGACCGAACCCAAAGGGTGCTCATCAATGGTTCCTCTTCATCCTGGAGAAGAGTGACTAGTGGGGTGCCACAGGGTTCTGTCTTGGGCCCGGTCTTATTCAACATCTTTATCAACGACTTGGATGATGGACTCAAGGGCATCTTGATCAAATTTGCAGATGACACCAAACTGGGAGGGGTGGCTAACACCCCAGAGGACAGGATCACACTTCAAAACGACCTTGACAGATTAGAGAACTGGGCCAAAACAAACAAGATGAATTTTAACAGGGAGAAATGTAAAGTATTGCACTTGGGCAAAAAAATGAGAGGCACAAATACAAGATGGGTGACACCTGGCTTGAGAGCAGTACATGTGAAAAGGATCTAGGAGTCTTGGTTGACCACAAACTTGACATGAGCCAACAGTGTGACGCGGCAGCTAAAAAGCCAATGCAATTCTGGGCTGCATCAATAGGAGTATAGCATCTAGATCAAGGGAAGTAATAGTGCCACTGTATTCTGCTCTGGTCAGACCTCACCTGGAGTACTGTGTCCAGTTCTGGGCACCACAGTTCAAGAAGGACACTGACAAACTGGAACGTGTCCAGAGGAGGGCAACCAAAATGGTCAAAGGCCTGGAAGCGATGCCTTATGAGGAACGGCTAATGGAGCTGGGCATGTTTAGCCTGGAGAAGAGGAGGTTAAGGGGTGATATGATAGCCATGTTCAAATATATAAAAGGATGTCACATAGAGGAGGGAGAAAGGTTGTTTTCTGCTGCTCCAGAGAAGCGGACACGGAGCAATGGATCCAAACTACAAGAAAGAAGATTCCACCTAAACATTAGGAAGAACTTCCTGACAGTAAGAGCTGTTCGACAGTGGAATTTGCTGCCAAGGAGTGTGGTGGAGTCTCCTTCTTTGGAGGTCTTTAAGCAGAGGCTTGACAACCATATGTCAGGAGTGCTCTGATGGTGTTTCCTGCTTGGCAGGGGGTTGGACTCGATGGCCCTTGTGGTCTCTTCCAACTCTATGATTCTATGATATACTGAAGACTAAACGACTAAACAACAACAACCAGAAGATAGTTGTTCCCTGCCATTTTCATGGGTGATGCATCATGTGCGAAAGGCTTGGGGCAGCAGTGGCATCGTCTAGTGATATCTGTTGTTGCATCGCACTGCATCCATCGGTGTGAATGAAATTCAGCGTGACATTGGTAAAACACAGAGAGAGAGAGAGCGAGAGAGAGAGAGAGAGAGAGAGAGAGTTCCATGACACAACTAGTACCACAGTGTGAAGGGAACATTAGAAAACAGAAACACTAACATTATAATTAGGAATACTTGTTCCCCCCATATCTAAATACACTCCATGTCTCCTTCATTAAACTTTGGAGTCTTTTTTCCTTGTGGATCCTTCATTGTTCTAACTCAAATGCTTTTGCAGGATAGTGTACATCTTTCGCATTGATCGGCAAGTGGCTACAGTTCAGTTTGCATCTTTCATGTTAGCTGACACAGTTTACATATGCCAGGCCTGAGTCACACAAACCTTTTAACACGGTGAGTGGTGGGTACTGAATCTCTGACAAGGGAACCATCCAATTACATCACCAGGCACCCACAGAAACCACCTTATTTGCAAACAGGCGTTTTCTTTCTGGGAGCAACTAACATGGAATTGAGCACTAAATTTGCACTCTAGTCTACCAAAGTTCCAGGTGTGGCTTTTACATCCTGTGAAAGCTCAAGCATCATGTGGAAATTAACAGGGAAAAGTCATGAAAAGTGCCATGTGAATGCAGCCTGAGGTTCACCAGAACTTTCCAGAGAATTGGGGGGAGAACTAGACATTGGGTTGCTGTTTCCCCTGCTTTCTGTTTTTCATAATTCTTTTGTTTTGCCCTGATACAGCAGCATAACAGGGAAAACTGAATGGTGTCTTTTTGTTGACTGGAAAGTTAGCAGGGGATTGCCTCTCCCCATCCACCATGTTGTGCGTACAATTATCCGAGCACTTGTTCCCAAAGTGCTTCCTACCGTCTCCAGAAAGAATATGTGATGTAACTCAGCTAGCATTTCTAGAAATCACGGTGATTCGCTGCAGAGCAAGGTTAAAAGGTCTTTAAAACATGAGGGTTCCAGCATAAAGCACTTGACTGCATGGAACCAACGTGTGTGCAAATGGATTCTATGTGTGCACATGTGGCTGGCCACTTCACCGTTTGGGGCTTTTTACAGGGGTATTGAAAAGCAACCTCCTCTCTCCATGCTGTGGTACACGGACCCCAGAGTACCGGTAATTTCACACCCTTCCCTAATAAAGTCCTCTGAGACTGTCATGTACTTCCCCTATTATCCCTCCCTGCTTGAGCCTTGCCGATAATTGATGATGCTTTAGTTAATCATCCTTCCCCTTCTTTTGTTCACCAGGTATCTCGGCCTAGAAAGGATCCTTTTCATTTAGAATTTGTGTCTTCTCCTCGGTAATTGATCGCCATACACCCAAAGACGCGCACACCCCACCCAATTTTCAAGTGAGCAGCATGGATAATCAAAGATCGATGGCCGCTCTGTTGCAGGAATGCAAACAGATGCTGGATCAGATCTCACCAGAGGTGCAGAACCAGTCTAAGAGAGACGAAAGCAGGCATCAGCAGTACAGAGGTGAGATCCCAGTGACAAGTACTGGGTGCAAAACAGCCGACTGCCCTAAACTTCCACCCCATCCCCGGCCTGCCCTATTCCGCCCCCCCCTCTCCTAGCAGATAAGTGTCAAAAGATTACTGGATTTCTAGGACATGAATGGGATGTGAGCTAGGAGGCAGGCAGGGAAGGAAGCCCACTTTGTACCAGTGAATTGCTGTCAGTTCTCATTTAAAGCTTCAGTAAACATGAGGCTATAAGGAGCGGTTTTCGTTTAAGAAAAACAATGCTTCCAAAGTTTGGCGATGCACATAAATTTCAATTATAAAAAAGGGGGAGGGGAAATAATGCAACTTCTGAATGGCGGCTGTTTGCTGTCCTTTCACTGAGAGTATATCCCCTTCATTAAAGCATTTGACCGTTTCCCCTAATGCAACTCCCTACATTTGAATTCCCAGATTTTTCTCTCTAAATAAAAGTTCATCATCTACAAAAGTGTTTTGAAAATAAAAATGGTTCAGGGTGTTAAGAGGAACATTTGCAGGCAACGGATACTTTGAAGAGCGGTACGTAAATATCAGTGACACATTGAAAGAGTTTTTGTTTTATTGAATATGATATGAAAAAGAAACCATTTATTGAAGAAACCATTTATTGAAATAGGAAGATGATCTATTAGGTCATCTGATGAAGCAAACTCTTGCCTGTGCATAGTCGTTCCATGATCCATTTGTTAGTCTATTATTATTATTATTATTATTATTATTATTATTATGCCCATTTGACTAGGTTGCCCCAGTTACACTAGGTGGCTTCCAACAAATTGAAAACATTAAGCACAGTAAGACATCAAACATTAAAAACTTCCTTATACAAGGCTGCCTTCAGATGTCTTCTAAAGGTTATATAAGTTGCTCATCTCTTTGACATCTGATAGGAGGGCGTTCCACAGGGAGAGTGCCACTGCTGAGAAGGCCCCCTGCCCGGTTCCCTGTAACCTCACTTCGTGCAGTGAAGGAACCCCAGAAGGCCCTCAGTGCTGGGCTTCAGTGTCCAGGCTGAACAGTGGGGATGGAGATGCTCCTTTAGGTGCCACAAGACTTGTTATTGTGTCCAGAAGCCTCTTTATGGGGTTTTTTCTGCAGCAGATTACCATGGCTAGCTCTTCCAAAATTAATTACTTCGGATAAAGCTACCACAAGATGTGCCTTTATTCTGAAATAACACCCATTCTGTTCAATGGGGCTTGCTCTCTAGGAAGTCTGCTTAGAAATACTAAATAGTTGCAGTACTTTTGCAAAAAGCTTTGCCAGTTCAGAGCCTAATCTTGTACTTCTATAAATTCTGACTTTGTACGTTACCCAACAATTAAGTTGTCACTGTTGCAATCCTTCTGACCATACTTCCTCCTTCCATCCCTTTACTGCCATAGTAGGGTCTTGGGTGCTTCCACACAGTTACTTAGTGTGGACTCGGTGCTGCTCTGGCAAACACATTTTGCAGCATTCAAATAACCTAGTCCTCATCAAAATGGCAGCCCATTTGCCTACAGCCTTCGTTTAATCTGGATCTATAATTTCTGCAGAAGCTTTGGGGTTTTTTTTTTAAATTTATATTATTTTTCCTGGAAACAGTCCATCTGAACTAAATGGAGGGGGGAATATGGGATGGCATTTTGATAAGGACAGCATGGTGGGGACATTGAGCAAAACTGACTTGCACAAGCAGCACCGAGCGCAGAATAAACTGCTGCGTATTAAGCAGACTATCTTTTAAATTGATAAATCTGAATTTTGTTTGCTTGTTTGTTAACACACACACAGGATTTTCCTTTTTGACAGACAAATCATGTGACTCTCCACCTAGTTCTGCTGTTTCAATAGTGCCAGCTACTTTGCCCGAGTGAATCAATCATGATGACATTTGGGGAAATTTAAATCCACCTCATGCAGGGCCTGTTCTGTTTGTGTACAGTTTTCTGCTTCCTTTGGCTGTGATGATAGTTGTCTGTAGCTCTTTGGCATTTGGGAATATAGGCTATGTGTAAAGGGCTGGTGTATTTTTTTTCTTGTAAGGTTTCCTTTCATTTCATCCCACAAAAGGCACTTTTGTTTCCTTGTCACAAATTCCTTTCAGCTTTATTATCACTCTTTAGAATGGGCTATTGAACTTCTAATCAGGTAGTTCTTTCTTCTTCGGTTTCCCTTATTAAATGCTGGAGAGTATGATAAATAATCAGCTTAGTTACAGATAAGGTACATCAGTGCCCTTTTAATCACTACATTAGACATGGCCCTTCAGGTAAACTAGTTCAAGCAGCAAAGGAACCAAGGCTCAGAGATTCCTTAGGACCTACTTCCCTTAGATTTTCGTTTTCGCATTAGCTATCTGCTTTGAGTCCGAGAGGCAATAATATGAATAATGTCACAATGTGTGTATGATTGTTCCATTGGATTATATCCCTGCAGGTTAGTTAAATGCTCCAATTGCAGATGTCTTCTTCCCTAACAGGTGTTTTTTTAAAAAAAAAAAATCCTGCCATGATCACATATTGCTTATAAGAAGTGTGGTATCAATTATGGCAGCAGTTTGAACTAATTATCTGAGCTGAAAGCCTGAAGCTTGTTATCATCATCATTATTATTTATTAAATGCCTATACTGCCCTTCACCTGAAGATCACAGAGCGGTTTACAATAAAAATACAAAAATACCCAACATAGTAATAAACACAAACAATGATGTCATTTCATTTATTAGTATTACTACTGCTTCCATGGATGCTACTTCTTTCTATCCAGGATGGAGATGAATAGTGGAAATGGGGGCAGGGATTTAGAAACGAACTCATCCAGCTTGCTTTGGCCTTGGCTCTTCATGTCTCAGGGATTTCCAGACAGGCTGACTTTGCACCAACCCTTCCATCTGCTAAATCTCATTCACCATCCTTTTCCTTGTTGTTGTTTAGTCGTTTAATCGTGTCCGACTCTTTGTGACCCCATGGGCCAGAGCACGCCAGGCACTCCTGTCTTCCACTGCCTCCTGCAGCTTAGTCAAACTCATGTTCGTAGCTTCGAGAACACTGTCCAGCCATCTCGTCCTCTGTCATCCCCTTCTCCTTGTATCCCTTTCCTAAGTTTCTGCAAAAGACAAATTCTGGGGAAGAGTGCTGTTTCTTAAACTTCTCCTAACTCATTGATTGGGAATATTAAGAAACTACAGTCCTCAGACCTAAGCCAAAGGCTTTCTTCAAAGACCCTTCATTCTGGGCTGGACTAAAATTCCATTCAGTATTCTGTTTCCAGCCAGATAACTTAGCAAGTCAGACGTGACAGCAATGGCTTTCCCCTGTTACATGTCTCCAGCATCTGGTATTTAAAGGTATATTGCCTCTGGACTCAGAAGACTGAGTTAGCTATCAAGTTGCACATTAAGGGCTCCAAACTCTCATTTTCGCACTGTGGAGGAATCTATTTCCTCTGCTCCTTTCTGTCTCCTTTTCTTCATTCACACCTACAAAGCAACAACAGTCTTTCACTTCCTTGATAAAATCCCTTCTCTTAATGACAGACAGCTCCAGTTTACCTGCAGGGCAGAGCACGGGAGGTCACCTGATGACAGGCAACCTCTCATTATTACTCTGCGGCTGGGAGAAGTGACAGCTTGCAGCCGCGGAGAGGCAAAAAACGGTGGAGGGAATGCTTTCAGCAGGTCAGGTACCACCTCCTAACCTTCGCGGCTGAATCACTTACCTGCACTTTGACCTTTTCAGCTTTGCTCCCTGATGATCTGAGGACCCTCATCGAAGAGGCAAAGGAAATGAAGTGGCCCTTCGTGCCAGAAAAGTGGCAATACAAACAAGCCGTAGACCTGGAAGACAAAACAAACCTGAAAGATGTGATCAATGCAAGGCTGCATGAGTTACTGGTATGAAGTATATGACACCTGCCTTTGACACCTGCATTCACAGCACTTAGATATACAGTGGCCTAACAAATGGTAGCCTTCCTTTTATATAGATGACCCCCATCCTTCACTGCTTTTTCTGCTAGGTGACAGTTGTCATCCTGATTCCATTTAATTCAGTGGCCGCGTTCTTACTCTTATCAGTTGTGTTGGGGTTAATGCCTTGATTTTGTTTACATATTACAAGATATGCACCCTGGACCAGAAGGCAGTGTATTCTCTGATGTAGACATGGAGATCCTGCACAAGGGGGCTTCCCCCAGTGACTGAAGAAGCCCACTCATTCAGGAGCTTCATGTGTTCTTTGGAACAACTACAAATGTGTGCAATTACAGATTTTAGACCAATGGTCTAAAAGGTCCAAGTCCAGCACTATATCTGCAAGAGTTGCAGCTAAATGCCCCTTTGAAGGTCACTTGTCAGGCGTGATACAGACAAGTTTTGCTTGTTGTTACATATGTCATCTGAGGTGTAAGCCCTGAAGGTGGTGGGTCCAATTTTAGTTACCTCAGCAAATAGCAAGTGGATAGATATATATCCTCCAAGAATTTGACTGTACCACTTTCAGAGCCATCTGCGTTGGGTTTTTGGCAACATCTTGAGGCAGTGATTTTCACTGTAAATTATGGGCTGAGTAAAATTGTATTTAATTTTGTTTATCCTGAATCAAATGTATTGGACTACCCTATGATTCCAGTGTTTTGAGGAACAGAGAGTAACTTCTCCCTATTTATTCTGTCCTCTCCCCGCCCCCCATTCCTGACTGCATACACGTTTCTTACATACATTGGAGCATAAGGAAAGTCTCTTGGATCAGGGCAGTGGTCCATTTGGTCCAGCATCCTCTTCTCACAGCGGCCAACCAGATGCAGGACTTGAGCATAAGAACACCTGTGGTTTCCAGCAACTGGCATTCAGCAGCATTACCGCCATCCATGTGGGGAGTATATATGCATCAGGGTTAACAGCCAGTGATAACCTTACCTGCCATGAATTTGTCTAATCCTCTATTAAAGCCATCCAAGTTGGGGGCCATCACTGCCGCTAATGGGAATAAAATCCATAGTTTATTCTGTCTTCCCTGAATCTTCCAACATTAAGCTTCATTGTATTGCCCCGAGTTCTGGTACAATGAGAGAGGGAGAAAAACTTTCCTCTTCTTCACACAACACATAGCTAAACTATGGAACTCACTCCGCCTGGCTTTCAATTTGAACTTAGCCTGGTCTTTTATTCCCCTTCCTTCCCTCCCCCTCCCATTTTTATGAAGATTACCCGCTCTGAGGTCCCACAGCTAATTCTCCCCTGGTCTCCTCGCTGGCCCAAATAGGACTAATTTAACCAGCTAACCCTGGTGGTCATCTAATGTTTATTGGATGGATTTTCCCCCTAAATTGATTTTTGAATTCTGAATTTATTGTTATTCATGTTTTATACTGTATTTTATGCTGTTTTTTTGTTGCATCAATTAAGTGTTTTAAATTTCTTGTTAGCCGCCCTGAGCCCGATTTTCTGAACCGGGAAGGGCGGGGTAGAAATAAAAATTTATTTATTATTATTTATTATAGGAGGCAGTGACATCCACCAGCATAAATGGCTTTAAAAGAGGATTAGACAAATTCATGGAGGGGAGGGCTGGCAACGGCTACGCTCTACCTCCACAGTTGGAGGCAGCTATGCTTCCGAATACCAGTTGCAGGAAAGCGCAAGAAGAGAGAGTGCTCTTGTGCTCGAATCCTGCTTATGGGTTTCCCACAGGCATCTGGTTGGCCTCTGTGAGAACAGGATGCTAGACTAGGTGAGCTATTGGCCTGATCCAGCAAGCTATTCCTAAACCTGCGTAGGCCAGAGCTCCAAGTGTGAGAGCCAGTGTGGTGTAGTGGTTAAGAGCAGTAGTCTCGTAATCTGGTGAACCGGGTTCGCTTCCCTGCTCCTCCACATGCAGCTGCAGGCTGACCCTGGGCCAGTCACACTTCTCTGAAGTCTCTCAGCCCCACTCACCTCACAGAGTGTTTGTTGTGGGGGAGGAAGGGAAAGGAGAATGTTAGCCCCTTTGAGACTCCTTCGGGTAGTGATAAAGTGGGATATCAAATCCAAACTCTTCTTCTTCTCCAACAACCACTGGGAATTTGCTGCAGCACAATTGCTATGTTTGCAGAGAGGGTTAAGTGAGGGAGGGACCTGTTGGTTGCGACCAGGTGCTATTTGTATCTGGGTGTAAGATAGGATAGGGAGTTGCCTCCTTAAATCACTGTTTCTCTCTCCTTCTGTAAGTGAATGTTTTAAGTTGCGTGGAGCACCTTACATGCCCCTTGGTAAAAGTGGGAGGGTTTTGTTGTCGCCCTTGCTTTACAAATCCCTAGTGCTAAGTGGAGTTTTATTGTGATTCTGAGTTTGTTTTGCTGTGTTTTCTTCCTCCCTGTCCCCTCCTTTCCCTTTCCCTTTTTGGTGTGTGGCCTCAGATGGAAATTTATGGCGGTGACTGACCCGCTTTTACAATGCTCACAAAGCCCTCGGACTCAAGAGCATTTGTCTGCTCTCTCCCAGGATAAACACCTGCAGCCAACTCCCTGAGAAACCTGGATAGATGGGAGATTAATGTGACTGTAATAGTGGAACAGGGTTTGCCCACATTATCCCCTCACCCCAGGTAGATGGGCCTTTTCTGAGATGATACCAATTATTTATTGCCGAAACATCTGTTGATAACTGCAGCTGCCCCAGCGAAACAAAGCATATCATGGGGTCACACACTATAGGGCCCTACAATCCTGCCTCATGCTCTTTGGAGACTATTCACCAACACACCCCAAAGTACATGGGTTACCGTCGTCTTCAATGTTTCATCGTGCCGTAAAAAATACTTTCTAAACGCTGAGCTCGCTTCCCCATGTGCTTTGAACTATTATTTCATTTTCACTGGTAATTTATATTCTAGCACTATTGTACTGTGGGAGAAAAGGGATACTATTTTACTCCCCAATTTAATTGTAGAATGACTGACACTTTGACCCATATTATTAGTATTAGTCAAGAAAGGTTCTTTCCCCCACCCCCTTTCCATTGTTCTCTTTCCCATTTATTTATTCCAAACGAAATTTAAAAAATTCAAGACACAGAAAAAGTTTCTTTAGAACTTTGATTAAGATGTTGAGCGAGGCTGGGGAGGGGGGAAGTATTAAATTTGCAGTTTGATTGCGAAGAATAAAGTTCTGAGCTTCCTCTTTTGATATGATTTGCAGGAGGGAATTAATTTAAATCCCTCCGAAAGAGAAATCAGCCTTTGTTGATATTGTTTGGCGAAAACTTTGACACGTTTCATCTGAGTTTATTCTAAAGTGGCGAGTTTAGAATAAGCTCTCCACTGGAATGAACCAGTGTTTGTAAAGTGATTTGGGATCCTTGAATGAAGTGTTTATTATTCTGGAAGGTCAGATTTTGGGGACCATATTCACAGTGTGCAGTATCTTACTTCTCGAGTAGCTCCACTGATCTCAAAGTGTCTCTATGAGAGCACTTGGGTCTCCAGTCTGAAAGTTTGACTTAGCCTTGCATTGTTAGTAGCGATGCTTTGTTTGCAGACCATTGCTCTGTTGAGTATGCAAAACAACCATTGCTGCTTACATCAGCCTTTTAAACAGTTCAGCTTTGCATGGGCTGCAGAATCCTATTGTACAAAACAACCAGAAGAGAGGAATGCTCATAAAAGACATGGGGGCAATGGGGGTGGGTGGAGAGGGGCATGGAGGAAATCCCATATCTGCTAAATTTAATGAGAAACTCAGGGTGGTAGTCAACTGTTTTACTCAGAGTACACCCATTGAATTGGCCCAACTTAAGCAAAGTCATTAATTTCAATGGGATTTCTCTGAGCAGCTTAGTTGACAACCACCTTCAGTAATTAACACATCAATGTAAAACGTGCATCTTAAAATGTTTTCCCTCTTGATAGTGATCTTCATTGTGGAATTCCAGAATAGGAGTTTGATAGAAGAAAGATCTTGACTGTTAATGTTATTTCTGTGGGACTATACGAAAGCAATTCTGGTGATTTGTCACCTGTCTATTCAAAGGACTATCTTAGGGTTCTTTCAGATGTTACATTTTTGGGGGTATAAATTTATGTGGGTTTTTGAGTTTTTGATCTTATTTTTTGCTTTTGTCCTGCTGTTTCATTTCTTAGGTCTAGATTAAAAATAGTGCAAAGAATTAAAAACTGTGACAAAACTGAAAGCAGCAACAGATTTTGTGTGTGTGTGTGTTGTAAAAAAACGCATTCTAGGGCAGCAGATATCACACAGAGGTGATTTGCCAAAGTCTTGCTAAGCCAAAACTGTTGTTTCATAAAAATTATACACCGCTTGATAATTTTTTTAAAAAAAATCTCTCCAAGTGGTTTGCATTTTTAAAAAAAATAAAATAAGAAAAATTAGCAGTAATAAAACTTTCAAAAAGTTAAAATAACAATAGAATAAAAACAAATTGAAACTTTTCATGTGAGGTGGGAAAACTAAATCTGCATAGGATGGGATTTGCTAAGGCTGGATGTAGGGATTGATGCCAACTTGGGTGGCTTTAAAAAGAGGATTTGATGATTGATTGATTGATTGATTGATCTGATTGATTTGATATGATTTGTATGCTGCCCTTCACCCAAAGATCACAGGGCAGGCCTGAACGTAAAAATACAAAACATGAACATAAAATACATAAAAAAACAAGTGCAAGAACAAAAACAAACCAATAACTCCCTTCCAATAATCACATGGAAGATAAGGCTACCAATGACTACTAGACATGATGACTAAATGTTACCCCAGTATCAGAAGCAACATGCCTCTGAATACCAGTTGCTGGGGAACAGCAGTAGAAGATTGCTGCTTTTTCCACTTGTGGGTTTCCAAAAAGTACCTGGTCCTTGTTCTGTCCCCATTTTTTTAAATCAGGGGATATGCAGTTAACCCTCCCATTGCAAATCATCTCAGCTCTTCTTCCAACAAACAGTGGACGTTTAAAAACAAAAACCCAGGTCTCTTTCTCCTTCCTGGCTGAGCCAAGGAAAATGAGGGTCGAAAACACTTCAGCTTCCACTGGGATTCCAAACAGGACATTTCCAGCTATTTCCCAGCACGAGCTGTGCTCAAAGTAAGCATAAGAAAACTGGGAGACAGAATGTGCAAGCGGGAAAGCAGCAGAGGTGATAAATAATTATATGTTGATTTGAAATGAACAGCTGGAGATATCTCATCTGCTTTTAATAAATGTGCTCTTGCCCGTACGAGTGTCTGTTATGGTTTTCCCTAGGTGCCTGACCTCATACATCTGCAGACTGTAAAAAAACATTCTGACTCCAGCCCATGTGAGGATCTGGTTTTTGAACAAATGGTTGGCACTGCCCTCGGTGCTCATTGGAGCACAAGATTCTGCCTTATGCCAGGTCTGACTATTGGTCCATCTACCTCTGTATAGTCTACACTGATTGGCAGCAGTTCTTCAGAGAGTTGATCTTTCCAGCCCTACCTGGAGATGCCAGGGATTGAACTTGGGACCTTCTGCATGCAGAGCTCTGCTGCTAGGCTTTTTCCCTTCCCCTCATCACCTATTTCCACACACGCACACGCACACACACACACACACCGCTATGGAGGACTCTGGCTGTTGACACTGTCAGTGTCGACGATCTGTTTCGCAAGTGTGTGTGTGTGGTGTCTCTGGTGATGTGAGGTGAGAATATTCTCTGCTAGAAAATTATCCAGAGAATATTCTCCACAAACTGTAAATTTTAACCTAAGAACCAGTTTTACAACCCACATTTTAAAAATATAGCAAATAATAAGTTAAGCTGTGATATTGCCAGTGTAAGTAATAAATAATGGTTTGTTTTTTTAATCCAGTTACATTACTGGGCATTGTGTCATTCACCATTGGCAGTTCTGAAATGTGAGCTACAGAAAACACACACACACATATATGCTATTCATTTAATTTGATGAACATTTGAATTCGTATGTATTTCAACAATATGTAATAGCCTTTTTTTCTATTTTGGTGTGACCTTATTCATAGCAATTCTATACTCTTGGCCATATAGTGTGATATATTTTTTTACAGAAAGTACCGGTAGCTTCAATGCTTTATACACTTAAAGTACCAGGCCTATACAATTATGTGTAACAGCATGTGAGGTGGCCTTGATTTAAACAGTTGAGCAGTTGACGTTTCTATATTTTTATTTAGTGCCAGTAACTGGTTTTGGCAGTGCCATTCAATGGTACAACATGCCATTTATCAGAGATTGACATACTGAAATATATTACCATTAGAGCTATTAGAAGCACAAGATAGCCTAATACTGAATTTACTTGTATCAAAGAATGTGAATTCACTGCATTGCCCCATTGAATAACTGTACAGTTTTTGGTTGCTATCTGAACAAGTTTATCCATGAATAAACATGTATATTAACTAATTATATCATTTTCAATGCATTAAAATGAATATTCTCCTATTTTAAATGAAAATTCTCTAATATTTCATTAACTGAGAATATTTTCGAGAAAATTCTCCAAGAGATTATTCTCGAGAATTCAATATCACTAGGTGTCTCAACCCAATAAGCAACCTTGTAAGTTACTGCATGTAGTAGCACTCTTTTGCTTGAGCAGATCATATCCTGCAAAGTGATCTACTGTGGTGTATCTTTGTGACCCCCAGGGCATCTTGATATTAAAGCCTGAGATTCCCCCCCCCCCATAACTGTCTATTTGCTCAAGTCATATTCAATGAGCATGATTTGAGCATGATTTTAATTTGTTTCTTAGCCCTGTGATATGTCATGGATGTTTCAGTTGAGATTCCTGCACCGGAATTGGACTAGATTTGACTAGATGACTCTTGGGGTCCCTTCCAACTCTACAATTCTATCATTCTGTGATAGTAGTGATAGCTGTACTGTATCTTTAAATATAACCTTAAGGGCCCTAAACTGGACCCTTTCTTCTGCCTGTTTGCATACGGAAGATACAGTCACCCATCTTTCTGGCAACTAATTTCCCAGGGAGGTGTCTGCTGCTTTCGTGTTGTGGGTTTTTAAAAACCCTCTTTTTCCAACCACCTTTTTTAATATGGCTGTTTTGAGAGAATTGTGTTAGAAAGCATAGCTTTGCTGGCTGTTAACCGGTAATGCTAACAATTCTTCATTGTTTATTTTAATTGGTTTAAACGCTTTTAAAGTGATGGTTAGCTCAAGCAGCCTCAAGTTGCCTATACCTGAAATGGTTCAAATTTGTGCACAGTGAAAACTTAATAGATGACCATGGCCAATTAATAATTTTTTTCCAGCCTAGCCTACCCTATAAAGTTGCTGTGATGATAAAAGGGGATGCACGCGCACCACCCTGAGCTCTGAAGGAAGAGCAGGATAAAAACATAATACTGGCATACCCTGCCAATTCTATAATGCAGTGCTTCTCGTTATTCTCCTAGTTTTCACAAACTATGAAGCAAGCAAGGCACACTTATCTCTAGACTACGTGCTCAGTGGGGGCTTGTATTTCTTGCATTACATTCTCTCTTTTCCTGTGTAGGTGGACTTAAAAATATTTCAGCGGTTCCTACCCCATTTGCTGCATCCATTTAATACATCCGAAGTGCTCTGTACCTGGATGAGTTAGCAATGCCATTCATTCCTAGTCTTAGCAAACCAACAGACCTCTAGGCTCAATTATTGATGATTTAATTCTTGCTCATTGAAAATTCCTCCACCCTCATCTGCTTCTATCTTCCTAATTTATTCTGCACAAGCAATTTCGTATATTCACATTTTGTCCTGTACCTCAGTGCCAGATGGCTCTGGGAGAGAGTGTTTTCTCCCTTCCTGGGAGCAGCTGCAGTTGTCGGCAAAAACAAGGTATCCTGGCATTGAACCTAAGGCTGAGACCCAAACATTAAGGTGTTTTGCTGGGAGGAACCAGGCCACTAATGCGAGAAACCATGAAAACAGCACACCCGTCCACTCAGGGCATTTTCGCAAAGGCCCTTCAGTAAAGGCTGTTTTGCATTTCCACCCTGAACCCCTATAATTGGTGTATAGAAATCTTCTGCAAATCTAATTCCATCTCCACCTGACTCAGCTTCCCAGCCATGAAGTTCCTTTTGTGCCCCTAAACTCAATTACACATCCTAGGTTGACATTGTAGAAACAGATGTTCAGGCAAAGTGCACTTTTATTTCTCTCTCTTGGCATGGATACAGAAATCCCTTAATCACAATTTCCAAATCAGAACCCTTTTCTTTCTTTTATATTTTGGTTATATCTCTGTATCACCATAATTTTTTTTTGTTTTGCCAATGAAGTGTCTTCCTCCTGGGGTTGTAGGCTTGATGGGTTGTTGCTGTTTAAAAAAATAAAATTATGTTCAGGAGCTGCAGATGCAACAGTGCACATCTGATCAAAAGTTTTTATGTAAGGTGCAGAAAGACAGGATGATATTTCAGTGGGATTGCAAACAAACTGAGGTTGGGCAAGGTCAGAAATAGACTTTTTCCTGTCCCTCAGAAACATAAATTAGCAAAAGAATTGTGAGCTTCTGTGGTATATGGTTAGATACACATTATATCAAATCTAAAGTAAAGCAACTGTAATAGGTGAGATGGACCTGTGGCCAAGGTGATGTCTGTTATCTAGACAGGCAATGGATATTGCAGATGTTAACCTGTGATGGGAGAAATCTGGAAGTGAATCAGTCAGTGCATTATGAATTGTGTGAGCCATTAGTGGCAATTCAAAATTACGCAGAAACTTCCGCTGTGTCTCATCTGCCACTTGGAGGTAATTTTATACATTCTTCATTTTGATATAAGACAGCAAGAGTTACGAGATCATCTTTTCTCAAATTAAATAAGCGCTCTTTCCTCAGTATAGCTTTGCATGTGCACCTCAGGCATGGCAGCCATTCTGTCTTGTTTGACTCACATATGGAGAGTCTGACGAACCAGGATAACACACTTTCAGTCTCATCATGCTTCTATAGGACACTGCCAGAAAAAGAGAAGAGGAAAGCTTTTCATAGTTCTGCTGAAGGGAGGTGATTCTGGCAGCATGCTTCTGATATGCAATCCCTCTCAGAAATGTTGGCATCTTAACAAACACTTCAAACACGTTTTGCAGGGTCTTAGACCGGTGAAACTGATTGACCAGAGACTATAATAGGACAGAAGACATAAATGTCTGGATCCGTAGGCAGTAACAGCTCTCCCATTCTGCTTCAGATTTCTGAAAAATTGCTATCTGTACCAGTAGTGGATGGCATGATGGGACGCCACTACACATCTGACCTCCAGTTGGTTGCTTCACTGCTGCTTACTGGGAGGGGCAAGGTGGACGCAGTGCAAACACACTGGCAAAGCCTCTCCAGTGCTCCTGACAGTGTGTTTGCACCATACCAACCACACCACTGTCTTTCCTCTTTCCCCACTTCCCTTCTAGTAAGCAGCAACAAACCAGAGGTAAGGTGTGCATGACATCCTACCACACTGTCTGATCCTGCTCTGTATCCATCATATGTGTATATTAGGAGGGGAATGTCTGTTGCCTCTTCTAGGCTTTATGTGTGAAGTCTGTCTTTTTACCCTGGAATTGCTGTCACAGAACTTGACCTACTTTCATTTTATGCTTTTATGGGAAGGAGGTTTTGGTCTACATTTTCCATTAACATGGCAGCATTTTTGTGGACTAGGAACTGTTGTGTGACTTGGGAGCCAAGGAAAAAGTCAGGTATGATTTCTCAGAGGGGACGAGAACAGGGTTATAACTTCAAACAATTGACACCGAGCAAAATGTATTGGTGTGTTAACACAGCACGCCATCTTCGGGGAAAGAAAAAGCAGCTGATATTCTCACCCTGTCTTGACTTTTCCTCATTTTGTGTCCATTTGGTTTTGGAGAGCGACGCAAGAGGTTTCGGCATTGAGCAGAGAGTTAAATTATGCAGCTGCCCGGCCCTCCAGAATAGGATACTTGGTTTAGATTTTTCACAATGCTATTGAAGTGCTTATTTTCCTCCTGAAGAGACACAAACAGATGCAAACTTCTGTAAACACTTTAGAAATGAATTCAGTGAGTTTGGCCTCTCAGCGGTGCTCAATAGCTGACAGAAAAATGTCTAATTAGTGCAAGTGGAAATAATAGGGCCACTTGGATTCCTTCCATCCTCCTCCAAGTCTACTTTTCCGAGGAACTCAAAGGCTCTTTTGTTTGGTAGGTCACCCTCTCTCATGCTTTTGTGTTCCAATCTCTTAAGGGAAGGAGGAGAAGAAGCAGAAAGAAAAAAATGCATTAGGCAATGGCTCAGTGCTTAAATATACGGTAGACTCCGGAGCATTGAGAAAAATGTGTCGCTGGCAGTGTTCGTTTTCAGGTGCTTAAAGACAGGGATCCCTCCATTGTCAAGAGGCACATGCACACAAAGAAATGGGAATCCCTTTCAAGTGTCATTCTTTGCAAAAGCATTCCCCCTTGCAAATAAATAAATATATTTCCACCAGTTTTTGAAGCATAAGTCAGCCCGTGAATACTTTTTTCACAACTGGTCTTGTGAGGTAAACAAATATCAGGCATTCCTGTTCAAGTTGTTCACACTATGGCTATTTCAGTTTCTTCAAGTTGCATAGTCCATGATTTGAATCAAGCCACAGGGTGTAAATCTTTTTCACTGACAGGCTAACATCACCGACCTATCCCTAATCTTGGAGCTGATTGTCACCACAAATGTTTTCACACATTTCTTGAGTCATTCATGAGAGTCTCTCTTCTGGGGGGCAGGAGGGAATGTGAGCTGTTGCTCTGCCACGTGATTTGGATGGAGAGGGTGCTACATTCAGTCCCTGAAATCTTCAGTTTAAAGGTTATCCGGTAGCAAAACGTCATGCTGGGCGAACCAAGTCATTGTCAGCACACTAGTGGGCAAGATGGTCTATCTATCCGACAAGATAAAGGCAGCTTATACCATTATCAAGTTTTACCTGACTCTTCCTGTACCTTCCAAATAGTACTATAGTCCTTAGCCAAAACCACGCTCATACACAGGAACCCGGCATGTTAAGCAATCATTCAGATATCTGTGTGGCTTGTATATGATCTCCTACCTGCTTATCCAAAGTAGAGATCAAGAAATTAGTTGCCAGAAGTTGATTTTTACATCTGATTACTTCATCACATGGCTGGAGCTACCTCCAAATTCTTTGAACGATGTCTCCCAGTGTGTGATGCTGGTTTCCCCAGGGACTTTACAGAAAGTTGCCAGTGGAGGCAACTATTTCATGTTACGTTGTTTTTACAAATGCACAACCCATTTGTAAAAATGATAGGTTAGTGGTAGACATTACTGGCCAAAATAGGTGTTGCTTGGGTCTCAAAGCCAGAAATTGGGAATTGAATACTTTAGATTCTCCCAGTTTTTTTATACAAGAATTCAGTATTTAATCCTGCAACGTCTTTAGAAGTGCTGCCTAGCTTTCAGCACTGTTGGTTGAAAGTTCCCAATGGACAGCTCCTTGCTCTGCCTGGTTATGCCAGATCATTGCTGGTCTGAAGACTGATTCACACTTTACATGGCAAGAGTGAATACTGCCATGGATACCGTATTTTTTGCTCTATATGACTCACTTTTTCCCTCCTAAAAAGTAAGGAGAAATGTGTGCATGTCTTATGGAGCGAATGCAGGCTGCGCAGCTATCCCAGAAGCCAGAACAGCAAGAGGGATTGCTGCTTTCACCTCTTGCTGTTCTGGCTTCTGAGATTCAGAATATTTTTTTTCTTGTTTTCCTCCTCCAAAAACTAGGTGTGTCTTGTGGTCTGGTGCATCTTATAGAGCGAAAAATACGGTAGTTAGAGGACAAATGGGCAGGAGCATCTGATAGGGCAGCACAGCACGGCTTACCTGTCTTGTTTGCAGTAGTCATCAACATTGCTTACCTGGCTTCCCAATGCTGCATGTCACTGCCAGTTACCAAGATGGGGAGCAGAAAGGCAGCGAAGAAAATGTCAAATTGGCTCCATCATTGCACCCATACTGTGTTGAGCCTTGTCCTTCACCATCTCCCTCTCGGTAACTGACAGTGACACTTGACAGTGTCAAGAAGCCAGGGGAACAACACCGGTTGCTACTGTAAACAGGTGAGGAAGTTGTCTCTCCCAAGCAAGAACAGGCACAGGAAGATACTGATTCCACACAGATAACAACTAAGTCCAGTGCTACCTAGTGACTAAACTGTATTATGACACTATCCACATGGATGCATAATTGCAAATGAAACAGGATACAGGGATATTGTGTATTTATGGTTGCTGCATGGACACATGTAAATTTGGCTTTATACATGGAAGCAAATGGGGGGAAATGTGAGTTTTCTGTCTTAAGTGAGATGAAGATACTATTTCTTTAGTAGTAGTAGTAGTAGTAGCAGCAGCAGCAGTAGTAGTAGTGTGTTTTAATTTACTAGCCCCTGTGCATGGAAGATCCTATCTTCACTGAGGGAGCTTGTCATAGGGAAAACCCCCAGAACAGTTTGGCAGAACACAGAGGAGGAGAAAGGGAACTTCAGTTGTGCAAGCATTATTCCTTGTGCTGATAAAGTACATTCCTTACTGTTACGCTGGCTTCCAGGCAGGCTTAAGTTATAGCTGTATCACTTTCTTTTTCCCCATTAAGCAGCAAAGGCACTAGAGAATTTGAGTCAGGTAACTGACTTTTCTCAATGAGTCACTAAGTCACTAAGAAACAAATGCCTTCTCCAGCAGTGGACAGTAGGAGTATACACAGAAAATAAATATTTGGATAGAGGGTCTGGCTTCATGTGTCTATCAGAGTGACCTCGGAGCTCCATGTCAAGGTAATATTCTCATACTGCAGCCACAGTACTGGTATATTCTAGTCTAAGTAAAATTTCCCTTCATCAGATTAACCTTTCCTATTCAATCCCAAGGAAGGTGTTACCAAATCATACTTGAGACTCCAGCAGGCAGGAGTTTTCTTCTCATCTTTCCCCAGCTGAGGAGAGGAAAGCTGAGATGCACTTTCACTCACACGCCATTCTCCCAAGGTGCAAGTTGGGCATTTGGGCAGATGTCACAATGCCTGCAGGGATTCTTGAGCACCCATGAAGGCTCTGTATACTGCCGCAGAGTTAGCCTGCTGGCCTTTCTTCTCTCCTAACAGCACGTTCCTTCATAAGTGCGGCTGATTCTCCATGCCAGGGAGAAGGATCAGCCTCTGAGGGGGATACCAAGGGAGTTAATGCTATTTTTAAAAAAATCATTAAAGGTCACCTGCAAAGAGAAAACGTTGGACTGCTGACCTAGTTGCTCCTTTATGATGTACAAAGGAGTGTTTGATCTGGTAGCCTTTACTGCTATATTAATGCAACTTGTTGATGTTTAGAACTTGATTGACACCACAAAAGTCTTCATTTCCCTTGAGAATCAGAAGGCAATGGCTTTTAATAGCACCCCCCCCCCAATTCCCATTTAAGCTAATTTTAATGCTATATGTAGGTCATTTCTTGAAAACAGATCACTGGTCTACTTTTTAGGAGTGTCTTACCTTCCTCTTCCTTTTTTAAATAAGGTTGCAAGATACAGTGTCATTTAGTGGGTAGCATGTTGGACACAAATCAGGAAGGCCCAGGATCTAATACTTGGATGAGCCTGATGGGTCTAAGCTGTTGGTTGTGAGGTTAAAATGAGATGAAACACTCTGAAATCCTTGGAAGAAGGTTGGGATGAAAATGAATCGATGGCGGTGGTTAAAATTAAAGTAAAATTTGTTGATAATCAAAATATCCTATCTAAGATTGGGAGCACTGCACACACCCACACAGTGATTTCACTAGTAACTAAGTATAGTGTGAGCCTGAATCCAGCCTTGTGTGGGTTCCATGACTCGGTCTTTCAGTGTCATCATTTGATGAATGCCTGAGCCCTGGCTCTTTATTTTAGAAACTGGGCTGCGGTGGGCAGGAGGAGAAAGAGAGAGAGAGAGTACAAAAAAATGTTGTTATCACAGGGTAGAGTATTGTAAAGTATGCCACACTTTTTAAAGCTTTTTTGAACTTCCCTTCCATGCCTCTGACAATTTTCTATGTTTGAAGCAATATCCCACCCCCAATCCCTCCTTTGCCCTGTAGCTGAAAGTGGGTGTACACATTTCTCAGCTAAGCAAGTCAACAAACATTTCTACCCCATCCCTCTGCCTGATGATTTACATACTTTATGGATAGTCCCCTAGAAACGGTTCCAATTTGAGAGCTGGTTGCTCCTCACCATCACATTCGTTTGGTGTTCTTTTCAGGTTTGTCTGAAAGCCTCCATTGCTAGCAGGGACTATGTGACAGCAGCTGCTATTGTGTTCCTGATTGACCGGTTCTTATATTGGGTTGATGGCTCCAGCCAGCTCCTTCGGATTGCCAAAAGGCTGCACGAGCTCCAACCTACAACACCAATTGCCCCTCAGCTGGTGATTCGCCAAGCTCGCGTCTCTGTAAATTCAGGTAATGAAACACTCATTGCGCTCCCTCCCCCTCCAACCACCATCTCCGTTTCTCGGCCGAGTCCCAATTAGGAGCTGCTTGACTTTCAAGAGGCTACTTTGTCCCATTCTGGAGATGACATTCCTATGATCCTGAGCCATCATTTTAAACTGACACCCTGCTCCTGCCTGCCATCTACTCTCCATCTACCCCATCCCACCCACCCCCCACCCCCACTCCATCTCCCTCCCACCTCTTCTGGCCTGCACAAAGTGTCTGGCATAAAGGGGTCTCTGAGAGAAAGAAGCAGCAGAGAAAATTGTGAAAGGGTGTGGAAAATACTAATTGGAGCTTTTGTCTCCTAACAAATCTGCCCTGCTGTTTCAAACGGGGGTCTGTGAATTGCTGTACTTCTGAGCAAAAGCCTTCAAAAAGATGATTAAAGATCTGGTATTTTCTGTTTGTGTGTGTGTGTGTGTGTGTACACACATATACATGCACTATGGCCACTTGGTGCAAATAATGCAGTTAACCTACTCATGTAAAATTGAGGGTTGTTGTTTTTTCTTCGTTCCTCTTTTGGTAGTACAGAAAGATCATGAATGGCATTGGCCTGTTTTAAAATACATATTCCTAGTTTTTTTAGGAAGGAAAAGGCAAAGCTAAGCTGATGATGAATACAGTTTTAGAAGGAAATAGCTTACATAAAATGAAATGATCATCTGATTTCAAACACTACATCTCAGGAATAGTATGTGCGTCAAATATAATTGCCCTTATTTGTGAGCTCTGCTATCTGATGCCACTTCCCCCAACACTGGGCTCCCATACGTTTTCTTTACTACAACCCCACTCAACCTTAGCCAGCATGGCCAATGATGAGAGATGTTGGGGGTTGTAGTCCAAAAACATCTGGGAGAAAGGCTGAGTCTGATTCCAAGTCTTGCAAACACATGTCTTAAAGAAGTAAACAGGAGATTGGCACGCTGTTTACTCCTAAAGTCCAGGGTGAATCAGGGTGACATAGTTGGACCACAATGTGGGTGAGTCTAGGCAGATATAAATATCTAAACAACCTCGGTGAGCTCTCATCTTGGGGTAGCTTTGAGCATCTGTAGGCCTGTTCACTTTACACTAAATACAGGTACAAGCTACCACTACACATGTACAAGTGTTTTTGTGAAAGAGTTTACACATGTTGATTCATACAGCTCAGCTATTGTGCACACAGAAACACAGACACTACACTTGTCGAACGTGACGTGAATAATGATAAGAGTATAGATAGTGTGCATCAACTGTTGTTTACAGAGATTGTGCACTTGTTGAATGTAACATGTGAATGGCCCTTATATAATTCATCTTCAAGCAGTGGGTCAGGGTCTACACTGGGTCACAATTGGATGGAATCCCCTGCTAAAACAGAGGAAAAAGCCATCGTTTTAGCAGCATCCTTGTCTCATTATGATGTCAAGTGCCTGGCAAATGGATAGCCCCCACCCACCTGTCAGATTTGTCCTGTGAGGCTGGTCCTACCTTTGTTCTAAACTAAGGGGATAAACTGAGGAAGAGAAATGACATTTAAAAAAAATAAAAAATTGCTAAAACTCCAGATTTACCAGATTTACCCTTTCCTATCTCAACTCCGAGACTGAAATAATTTGCCTCAATATAGCTTTGTTTTTCCTCTTCTTTCTAGGTAAACTGTTAAAGGCTGAATATATCCTTAGCAGTCTTATTAATGACAATGGAGCAACAGGTATCTATAATTTGTGGCTTCTACACTTTGAGTTATTATTTATAAATGTTCCAAAATAATAATAATTGCCACCTTGCTAGCAGAGCCACTGCCAGACTAATGTGTTCCTGTCCCAGACAGCTTCTTTCTTTGTTTTTCTTAATTTGTAAAAGTCTTGGATATATATTTACCTCACCTTTCTGCCTCTTCATGTTCCCAAACACTGTAGTGTGTTCAACTGCTCTTTTCATTCTGTTTCTCAGGTGTGTGGAAGTACTCAAAAGAAAGTGACAGGATCCTTGTTCAGTCTGTCTGTGTACAGATCAGAGGACAGATTCTGCAAAAGCTGGGTAGGATTCATGCAGCAATCTCACATTCTATGGTTTCAGCTGATCTTTTTCAGTTCCCGTTCAGTTCTCTGAGGATAGTGCAGGAGTCATTTCTCATAATTGTGTTCTTTCTAGCTGCGAAATATTCCTCATTTCCTAAATAAAAATCAGCTGTATGCCTAGCAAAATGTATTGGCAAAACAGAAAAATCTAATGTGACCCAAATTCTATGCCTATAATTGCTTCAAATTGCTTACTTTGCTTCCCAAATTAAGACTTAACAATTTCTCCTCCTCCTCCTCCTTCTTTGCAAGATGTTGGGTTGCAGAGGATAAAAAATAAGGGCATGGAATGGTGAAATTATGTGATGATCAGGCTCATAACAGCCTGCTGGATTAAGCTACTGGTCCACCTTGTCCAGTATCCTATTTCCATTAAGTTGTAAGGAATGGATGCTTTTGTCAATTTCAGTTTCCAATTTTTCAAATCTTAAATTCACATTTCTGCACTTGTTTGGTTTTTTTTATTATTATTATTTTAAAAAGCCCTTTTGAAAATTTGTATCATACACAATTTTGCAAACCATTTTTTCTAATGTACTTTGTATATTATTTTCACCAGTAAATGCTTATGTACACTTTCCCCAAACGTACACATATTGGGGTTGGAAAACGGCAACACAAAATTTGGACAAGTGTAACTTTTGAATGATAGCTATGGTTCAGTTCATGTTTGGCAAACCTCTCCCCCACCCCTACTAAGTACAAGTGCATTAAATAAGTTTATAAAATATTACTTCTTTTTTTAAAAAAAACTACAATAACTGAGCGTTCATTTTTGTGTGTATGTCTCAGGGATGTGGTATGAAGCAGCAGAGCTGATTTGGGCCTCAATTTTAGGTTATTTCACACTTCCCCAGCCAGATAAAAAGGTAATGTATATACTATTTTCTTTTTTAAAATGAGTATTTTCTGCTATTGACAGTATTTGTTCTGCTCCTCTAGACAATCTAGACAAGCAGCTTGCTCCAAACCTTTTAGCAGGAACTGAGGAACAACAGAAAGGGTAGTCCTTCACAGAGGGATCTGCTGGTGAAAAAGAGCAGTCCTTGCTGTTTCAAACATACCCAAGTCCTTCACAAGCAGTGGAAAAGTGGACTGTCCTTTTTTCCATTAAGAAACTGAATGATGTAAAAACAGCCTGAGATGTTGGGTGCTTCCAGACAGGGATTCATTATTGCAAGGGGGTTGTTGGCAACAAGTCTGTTGTTGTTGTTTTGAATTTACCAGATTTTCTATGGAAAGAGCGAATCTGGATTAAATGGCTAGGGATGTGTTGGTGCTGCATGCATGAGGAGTCCCAATCCCATTTGGAAACACCCTGTGTGTTTTAGCTTCTAGTGCTTTATGGAATGGATTCTTGTGTTCTAATCTAGAGAAGTAATCTGCAATGGAAACAGTGAAACGCCAATTTGTCTCTGTGTGTGTCTCCTGCAGGGAATTGCTACATCGTTGGGTATCTTGGCTGACATCTTTGTATCGATGAGTGAAAACGATTACAACCAGTTTAAAGACAACTATCAGTTTCACCTGGTAACTATTCCTGTATTTGAGATGAACTTTGTTTAGCTTGCTGAAAATTGTGTGTGCTTTGTTCAGCATCCCTGACTAGGGAGATTCTGTGTGATACCTGAAGCTCACTTTTCCACAACTGAAACAGATTACTCTGGAGAATATTATTTGTCCATCCATACCAGTACGGTATACTCTGATTGGCATCAGCTGTCTAGGATGTCAGGGAGAGTCTTTCCCATCTCCTATGTGATCCTCTTTTTTAAAACTGGAGATTGAAGTTTTGACCTTCTGCACTAAGCTACAGTTACTCCTCATTGCCTCTCCCTGGCGAAAGTAATTGCCAAGTGCTGAGCCATTTGTTGTTTGTTCTCTCATAAAATTATGGAGAGAGGAAGCACAGAATATGTCATATACTCCAGCCCTCAAACATAAGGCCATAATTAGACATTGCTAAACCTTGGCATCAGTCTACACTGTGGTCTAAACCACTGAGCCTCTTGGACTTGCCGATCAGAAGATCGACAGTTTGAATCCCCATGACGGGGTGAGCTCCTGTTACTCTGTCCCAGCTTCTTCCAATCTAGCAGTTCAAAAGCATGCCAGTGCAAGTAGGCAGGAATGTAAATGGCGTTTCCGTGTGCTCTGGTTTCCATCATGGTGTTACGTTGCGCCAGAAACAGTTTAGTCATGCTGGCCACATGACCCGAAAAGCTGTCTGTGGACAAACACCGGCTCCCTCGGCCTGAAAGCGAGATAAGCACTGCAACCCCATAGTTGTCTTTGACTGGAGTGAACTATTCAGGGGTCCTTTACCTTTTTACCTTACATATACAGTGGTACCTCGGGTTACATACGCTTCAGGTTACATATGCTTCAGGTTACAGACTCTGCTAACCCAGAAATAGTACCTCAGGTTAAGAACTTTGCTTCAGGATGAGGACAGAAATTGTGCTCTGGTGGCGCGGCAGCAGCAGGAAGTCCCATTAGCTAAAGTGGTGTTTCAGGTTAAGAACAGTTTCAGGTTAAGAACTGACCTCAGGAACGAATTAATTACTTAACCCAAGGTACCACTGTACTCACCTATCTACACAGAGATGAACAGACAGCAATCTGCCTAAACTTACATTTCCTTCCTGCCGTTTCAACAGAATCTTCTGAAAGAGTTTGACCACCGTTTACTTTCAGCTGCTGAAGCATGCAAGTTAGCAGCGGCCTTCAGCCAGTTCACACCACTGTTTGTGCTCACAGCAGTCGTAAGTGTGATACCCAATATTCTTATTTCTTCCCTGTGCTGAAGATTATTCACTGCCATCTACTACTGCAATATGTTGCTGTGTGCATGTAAAATCAGGATGTGCATTCCAAATTCAGATGCAATGCAGATTAAAAGTTGTGGTGCAAGTGAAATGCCATCTGGCTTTTATGCTGTTAAACCTGTTCATTTGGAGCAGTTGCTTACTACAAACCATTTACTGTTGCCTATCATTCATACCACTTTAATGTCCCATTGATTTAACTGAAAACTTATTGGATAATAAAGAGAGTGGAACTGGAAGGTAAAGGCTGCTAGTTGTACAATCTATCTTTTGGTTCTTTGGGAAGGAGGGGGGTATCTTCAGGAAAGAATTTGGCAAAAGAAGTGTACATCATACCCCACTTATCTGAGGATTATGTTCCAAAGGTTTTGAGAATATAGCTTCTTCCTGCTCCCCAACCCACCTCAATCCCACTGAACACCATAGACAAATCAGTCCCTCAGATTAATAGGCTTTGCAAAGTTTTATACTGAAAATCCCATTAGCAAATGCACAATTCTAGCATGGATTTTTTTACTAGATATCTCAGAACAAACCTGCTCAGTGTTCCTTCGGTATGTAACAAGTTTAACTCAAGCATAATTGATCAAACACAGAAAAAACAAGTACTTGAAAATCATTTGAAAAAAGCTATATTCTCAAAACCTTTGTAGTGGTGTGAATTCAAATTTGAGGATTCTTTATAAGATCTGAGCTTCAAATTTGATGCACAAATCTGTAAGATCCTGTTCATTTCAGCTGCACTTGTTTTTACAGAATATCCGTGGAATGTGCTTGCTGTCTTACAGCCATTCAAGTGAATGCCCTTCCGCAAAGCAGAAGTTTTATTTGTCCGAAGCAAAGGAGTCCTTTGAAATTGGTCTCCTTAGTAAGAAGGACAAAGAACCAGTCACCAGCAAACAGGAGCTCCACAGTTTTATCAAGGCAGCTTTCTGCCTCACAAAAGTGCACCAGAGGCTCTACGGTGAGAGCGAGAGACTTAGTCAAGTGAATAAGTTGTGCCAGGAAGCCTTACAGAAGCTGTATGCTTATAGTCATTTACCACATACTGAAGAGCAGGACAAAGAACAGCTTGCCAAGGATATCATGTGCCTTGTCATGTTAGTTAAAGAGCACTTAAATGTGCAGGATTTCTGTAACTCAGATGCCAAGTCCTACATTCCAGATAGCTACAAAACTGGTGTTGAAAAGTCAATTGTGAACGGTGAATTGAGCTTCGAGAAAGTCCTTGAAATATATTCCCAGCATCATGCAGCGGTCTGTGAAGTTTATGGAAGTGTTTGCCACAGCTACAAGATGAAATCAGGAAGCCAAACAGGAGCCTGTATAACAGCTTTGAAAACGGAAACCAAAAATATGGACACCATGTGTACCACTGAAGAAAGATCACATCATGGGAAAGACTCTGCAAAGATCTCGCTTTCACAAAAAGGAAGGAAAAATCGTGAGGGTTTTAAGGAGCAGATGCGACAGAAATTATTCCATGCCACTGCCCTTGATGAAGAGGTAGAGTGCATTCCTTCAGAAAGAAGTCAAAGACACACTGGTGGTATTTCAAGTAATTCTTATAACAGGAGTGAAAGTTCCAGTTCATTGAGATCTTGGAGCAAATTCTCCAAATCGAGTTCCTTTACTAGTTGGGAGGAGATTGACTGCAATGAAAATGAACTGCCCCAAGATAAGGTACAGAACCAAAAGGCTACTGGAGGTAAGGAACAAGAATGTTCTGCAGCTTTGACTGAAGATGCTGAAGAGAACTGCCAAAAGCCAGATCCATGTGTACTGTTTTCCAAAACTCATCAGCTCTCTCTTCAAGAGCCTCAGAACGACTGTTGTGGCTCCTTAACGCATCCCTATCAGAATAATATAGGCAGGACTCACAGAGTAACAGAATCATACCCAAATCTCAGAGAGGAGCATGTAGAAGGAGCAGAGAATGCTTTGAAGCAGTCACTCAGAGAAACCAGTAGCACCAACCCCCAAAATAGTAATGATCTTTTGAGTCCCACTTCTGAACAAGATCCCATTATCCCATCTTCATTAATGGATTCCAGGAGCAAGGACTCCAGTGCCATTTCTAACCATAATCTGTGCAGCATTGGGAAAGGAAGCACAGAAAATATAATAGAATCAATATCTAGACATGGTTGGCCATTTGTTGACCCAGAAGGAGAAACTGTGGACACTACTGAAGAGGCACAGATGAATTCACACCTGCCTGATGCCAGGAGGACACCTGCCTCCATCAATAGTAGCATGCCCAAACCGGAACGTGACCACTTTGTTCAAAATTGGATTAATAAATCGAACTCTGCAGTGCCTCCAGAAAGCTCCACTGGAGTATCTGAAATTGACCCGCAAGCAGAGACAACAGAAGACTGTGAATTTGCTAGTGAGTGTGGGAAAAAGTCAGCAGGTCGTCTTAGTGATGTCTACATAGCAAGAGATCAACCACATCACAGCTCTGGGACCACAAATTCTCCTTTGGGGGCAAAGAACCAGCCATTAGTCAACCAGTCCAGTGACTGTGCTACAACGGAAGAAGATGATGGTGAAAAGCTAAGGAACATGTTGAGCAGCAGTCACAGTTCAAGCTCCTCTCTGAAATCATGGTACAAAGCAGCCCACTTTTCCAGCAGTTTTTCTGAATCGGGGAGTCCTTCATTTTTGAACTCTAGCAGCAGCTCTTTTGTCTTTTTGGAGAGGGCCAAAGAAGAAACCCTACAGGCTCGCGTTCTCAGTGACGATGACTATGGCAGGCTTTTGTCAGGTGTAGACCATGCTTGGCTAATGGAAAGAATGAAGAATACAGGGCTCTTCAAGCCAAACCTCTTCGGTAAAGCACACTGTAAGTAGAGGTTTCCAAAACGCACCCTTATAATTATTTAATCCCAAGCATTTTGTGCTGCTTTCAGGGAGGGAAAGATTTTTGTTCTACAGTGGTACCTCGGGTTACATACGCTTCAGGTTACAGACTCCGCTAACCCAGAAATAGTACCTCAGGTTAAGAACTTTGCTTCAGGATGAGAACAGAAATCATGCTCCAGCAGTGCGGCAGCAGCAGGAGGCCCCATTAGCTAAAGTGGTGCTTCAGGTTAAGAACAGTTTCAGGTTAAGAACAGACCTCCGGAACAAATTAAGTACTTAACCCAAGGTACCACTGTAGTTTACAAGCCCCAAGCACTCAGGTGTCTTGATTCATGCGTGAGCTGCACAACAGCACACTTGCCTCCCCCAGGGGTAATCTGTACAGGTGCCCCCCACCTCACGTCACAACAGAAAGACAGGATTCAAATCATTTGCACATACCCTGGTGAAAGTCCCTTTTAGCCTTGCTATGTTAATATGCTAAGATGCCGATGGACTCCAGCTCCCTTCAGCCCCAACCAGCATGGAAATAGTCAGGGAGTTTGAGTATCTCGAGGGCTGCAGTTATCCACCCCTGTGTTAGCCTGACTGACACTGCCTGTGCGAAGTACTCAAGACCAAGAAAGAAAATTATTTGTTTCTGATCAGCCTTTGGCAAGCTTTATGCCAAGGACAGATCCTGGTATTGTGTACCTTACCTGTATATGGTGTGAAGTGATTGTCAGTGAGTTAATGACTGAGATGGGATTTGAATGCTGGCCTCCAAATTCTCAAAGCAACGAGATTCCTGCATTGCAGGGGGTTGGACTAGATGACCCATGGGTCCCTTTTCCAACTCTGTGATTCTGTTATTCTGTTCTATCTGCTATGCTATATGTGGGGGAAAGTCTTTTTATTTTATACCGATTAAGAACATAAGGAGAGAGTGAAATATACTCAGAGTCGCAAAGTGATTTCATGCTCTTTATTCAGCTCATAGTAGTGAGGAGGAATGAATGAGTCCCCTCAAAGTATCTGCTTTATATACATTATTTACACAATGGGCTTCACATGATTGACTAATTCTGGAATTCTACTGTAAGCCAATCAGGTTGTGGATTCACTTATATCTGGAGCATGATTGGGTGGTTCCTGCCAACCAATCATACTGCTGCATTGTTCTAGGACCAATCAGACTGCTGCATTCTGAATCCTATTGTTCTAGGACCAATCAGACTGCTGCAATTTGGATCCTATTGTTCTAGGACCAATCAGACTGCTGCAGTTTGGATCCTATTCAACTCATTACATAACAGAGAGTCTGGTGGGTCAGGCCAATAGCCCATCTCGTCCAGCATCCTGTTCTCACAGTGGCCAACCAGATGACTGTGGGGAAATTCATAAGTAGGATCCAAGCACAAATGCATTCTCCCCTTCTGTGGCTTCCAGCAACTGGTCTTCAAAACCATTACTGCCCCCGACTGTGGAATGGCTAGCAGCCATTCAGAGCCTTCTCCTCCATGAATTTTCCCAATCCTCTTTTTAAGCCATCCAAGTTGGTGGCCATGTACTGTGTGAAATAGTACTTTCTTTTACCTCTCCTGAATCTTCCAACATTCAGCTTTGGTAGGCATCCACAAGTTCTAGTATTACGACGGAGAAAGGCTTCTCTCTATCCACTTTGTCCGTGCCAAGTACAGTGGTACCTCAGGTTACATACGCTTCAGGTTACATACGCTTCAGGTTACAGACTCCGCTAACCCAGAAATAGTACCTCGGGTTAAGAACTTTGCTTCAGGATGAGAACAGAAATCGTGCAAAGGCGGCGCAGCCATTAGCTAAAGTGGTGCTTCAGGTTAAGAACAATTTCAGGTTAAGAACAGACCCCCAGAACGAATTAAGTTCTTAACCCGAGGTACCAGTGTATAACTTTATAAACTTCTAATCATGTCGCCTTTAAAAGTCTTTTCTCTAAACTAAAAAGTCCAAAACTGCAATGTTTCCTCACAGAGGAGTCACTCCATTTCCTTGATCATTTTGGATCATTTGGATGCTTTTGTTGTAATTTCACATTCCCTGCTAGCAATTTTAAAAAAATGCATTCCTTTTTGTGCTAACGGTCGGTTCTGTTACTCCGTGACATATTTGTGAGGAATGCCTTCCCACTTTGCAGCCCTTCCAAAAGCAATTCATCCTGCCTTGCCTTTCCCACCTTCTGTTTATAGATGAAGCTGACTGTAATAGTACACACTGCAGCAATGAATGCAACTTCCTATGGGTGTGAGCGAAATGTCATTTCTCTGTGACTCAGTCTGGGAAAAGGACATTGATCCTAGCAAGAGAACAGTTTTAACTCTGCTGTTTCATTCCTGGCTACTGGTACGGAACAACCCTTTGCTGAAGAAGTTGTCAGTTCATTTGTCTTCTTTTCCAGCCGCCCTCCTTTTGAAATTCTCCAAGAAATCTGGGCTGTGGACTGCACAGGAAACTGCTGTATATATTGGGGACTACCTGAGCGTAGCAAAGAAAGGCAGACAAAGGAATGCTTTTTGGATACACTTTCTGCACCAAGAAGAAACTCTGGGAAGGTATCACTCAAACCAGCGTGACAATTTGATCAGTCCAGGCAGTTATATGCTTGTTTGTAGGCTTAGATCCCACATGATAAATAAAAAGTCTACGTAGTGAATATAATGCATCCACAAAACAGCAGGAAAATACCTAGCCAGATTCTGCACAGGGATGGGAAATAACGGATGAATTGAGCTGTGCATCAGAAAAGGCTTGTGTTAATACAGTCATACCTCAGGTTACAGCTGCTTCAGGTTGCGTTTTTTCAGGTTAAGGACCGCCAAAACCTGAAAGTACCGGAACGGGTTACTTCGGGTTTCGGCAGTTACACATGCGCAAAAGCACCAAATCGCAACCTGTGCGTGTGCAGATGTGCAGACGTGGGTTGCGAACGCTGCGGGCTGCAAACGTGCATCCCACACGGCTCATGTTTGCAACCCAAGCATCCACTGTATAAGAAACTTAAGCAGGCCTTTGAAACAAAGTATGGATGGTGTTTGCTTGGTAGTAACAGGCAAAGCTTTCCACAGCCCATAACTGTAGAGTTGGAAGGGACCCAGGGGGCCTCTAGTCCACCCCCTGCAATGCAGGAATTTAAACTAAAGCATCCATGACAGATGGCCATCCAATCTCTGCTTAAGAACCTCCAAGGAAGGAGAGTCCCTCATCTTCTGGAGGAGTCCATTCTGCTGTGAAACTGCTCTTACCACTTTTTTCAGTTGCAGTCCTAACTACGGGTAGTAAACTGCATTGAACTTAGTGGAACCGACCATGGAATAACCATTGTTAGGAGTGGTCACCTTATCTCATTATGTTCAGTGGAAGACATTTAAATACAGTGGTACCTCTGGTTGTGAACGGGATCCGTTCTGGAGGCCCGTTCGCAACATGAAAAGAGTGCAACCTGAAGCGTTGTATCTGTGCAGGTGCGCGGCATGATTTGCCGCTTGTGCGCATGCACGAGCGGTGAAACCCGGAAGTAACCCTTTCCGGTGCTTCGGGGTCACCGCGGGACGTAACCTGAAAGAACGTAACATGAAGCAAACGTAACATGAGGTATGACTGTACATGTGTCCTACCGCTAGGACCTGTGAGACCAAGGTTCAGATCCCCACTGGCGCCAGTCACTGTCTCTCAGCCTCACCTGCTTGACAGGATGGTTGTGAGAATAAAATGGAGAATGGGAGGCTGATGCACATAACCTGTGCTCCTTGGAGCGAAGGCAGGATACAGTATGATGTTGCTGCTGCCGCTTCTATTCTTGTCAGTGTGTGTTACATTTTTCATAGATATGTTGGCAAAGAGTACAAAGACGAAAAGGAGCTTCTTCACCATTTCAGTGATGTGGAAAGACAAATGACTGCCCAGTACTATGTGACAGAATTCAACAAGAGGCTGTATGAGCAAAAAATCCCAACACAAATCTTCTACATCCCATCGGCGGTCCTCTTGGTAAGGAGCAAGCAGAAGGTTGCAAAGGATTCAGCTAGTGAAAGGAGCAGGCAGAAGCAGTGGGCTGAAATGCTGCTCACATCACAATCCCCTTTTTGTTCCCCAGGTACTAGAAGGCAAGTCTATACAAGGCTGTGTGAGTGTGGAGCCTTATATTCTAGGAGAGTTTGTGAAGTTATCCAACAACACCAAAGTGGTAAAGCTGGAATACAAAGCCACGGAATATGGACTCGCTTACGGCCATTTCTGCTATGAGTTTTCCCAAGGCAGAGATGTGGTGGTTGATTTACAAGGTTTGTACTGCCAGATGTCAAATGATGGAATACAGTATTTTATTGGATTGTCTTGAGCTGTTCCCACCACCCTGCTTTCAAAAATAACTCTTATAAAAAATTCTTTAGGATATGAATATTCAGAGCTGAAGTTTTTAAAAGAAAGAAAATGTTAAATGTCACTGGGGGGAAAAAGAGCAAATTACTTCAGCGGCTCACTATATTGGCTTAAAACCTAATCAGCTTTCTCAGGTATCATAGACATAGTCACCTCATTCTGTCTAGGGACTATAGATATAGGTGCTGCTTTAAATGTGGATCTTTTTGCATTTGATTTTCTTTCATAACATTTTCTTTTGATATTTTGTGATCTTTTAAATGCTTTAAAGTTGTAAACCACTTAGAGATTTCTTTGGAAATGTAAAAGTGGTATAGAAATTGTTCAAATAAATTATGCAAGCATAAACAGGTACTTTATATTTTTTTAAAACCACTAGATTCCCCCCCCCCAAAAAAAGCAAAACAGAGACCAAGATGCACATGTACAAACCCATGAAACAAGTAATTTCTGTAGTCAGCAGATTTGCAGAAAATGAAATGGAATGCATATAGGGTGTATTTTTAGAATCAGTATTATAACTTAGGGTGCTAAGGGAAGGGGTAGTACCTCTGGTGGGGGACATGTCGTGCTCCTTCTGGGGTAGTTTGTCCACATTTGGTCCCTACCCTGCACTCACCTGTGGCTCCTAAAAGCTGTCAGCATGCAACAGCAGCCACCATAGGTGTCAACTCCTTGGGGCCCTGGGTGCTAGAGCACCCACAAAATTTCCTATGAAGGGGCCGGGCACCCACAAATTTTGGTGCCAGGGCCATGCATGCTGCATGGCATCCATGGCCACAGGCACCCATGGTTGCGGGGCCAAGTTGGCATTCCTTGTGGCCACACCCTGAGAAACGGCTTTGACCAGGTGAGGGTTGCCTATGGGTCTCAGACCCTCAGTGAGTTCGGAATCTCCCCTGCATGCGAAGACAGGCTCTGGCAGACTGAGTGGATGAGACCAATAGTCCAATGGTCAAGAAGGCAGTTTCTGCACATGGTGTAGAGGGAAGTGAGGGGCAGGTGGGGCTTTTCAACATGGGAAGGTAGCCCATCTAGGAGAAGGAAACTCTGATCCTAAACCTCTGCTGCCTTGTGGGGTATCTTCGGGAGAAGGAAAGGCTAAGGAGTAAACCCTAAGGAGTCCCTAAGGCGGTGGGATGGCGCCTTGTATGCCATCCTTCCATAAACTCCTGCAGCCAAGCTGTTGCCCAATGTATGGCTCTGCTTTCCTTTGGACCACACTAGAGAGGCTGAGAGATGGGTCTTGTTATCTGGGCAGCCCAGGACCTCCATACACATTGCCCAGGCTTGTGCCCTGGTGAGTTCAACAACAGTATTGTAACTGTAACATTTTTCTTTTCGACAGGTTGGGTGACTGGTAATGGGAAAGGCCTCATTTACCTGACTGATCCCCAGATCCATTCTCTCTCTCGGAAAGAGGCATCATGCCTGACAAACTTTGGGAAGAAAGGGATTTGCTATTTCTTCAACAATCAGCACACAGAATGCAATGAAATCTGCAGGCGCCTTTCATTGATTAGACCTTCAGTGGAGAAACAAAACTGACTTTGAGAAAAGATATTTCAAGTCACTTTTTGACCACAAATCTAGAGAATTTGTAGCATTGGGTGTTCTAGCTATGATACAGCAGTCAAGTTGGCTGCTTCTTATATGCTTTGTATTTTATTTTATTTTTAAAAAATATGTAAAACAGGCTGAAATGAAGATTCTCTAGAAAAGTGACTGAAACAGAGCTAGGGGGAAATATAAATCATTTGTACTGAACTGTTTGGTGGTTTAGCTTTTTAAAAAAAATAAAACACCTTTTGGAGTAGAGAGCAGAAAAGTCTCCAGCTATCAGAACAGATATATTGTCAAAAACTGCTCTTTTCAGCTAACTCCTTCATTCATCACCTCTTCTTGTTCCAACTTCCCAGAAAGCATTTTAAATCTTCCCACTCTCACAGATCTATTCTCCAATGCTGGGATGGATGCAGTAGCTGTTCTGCTACAATGACCACTTCCATTTCGTTCGCTGCTCTTGCAAATGGGTGGAGGGGGGGTTGCTCTCTTGCTCACAGCTATAGGATATAAACCGCTGCTGGTTTGACACTCGTCCTCTTTGAATGTTTTGTGGTATGTGTGCTGTCCACAGGCATCAACAGTGCTTGCCCTGGGTAAAAGCAGCTGTCGCGTTTTTCTTTTTTGCTACTTATGAAGCAATCTTTTGTGTTTTTAGATCAAAGCTTGTAATTCATGGATGTGACCTCCTTGGACTTTTTGTCAGCTACCACCTGGAGAAATGGAAAGAAGCAAAAAGCAGAATTACAGCCATTGCACTTCCCAAGCATTCACTGAGGAATATTATAATATAAGAGATTGCTCTTCCTCTCCCCAAAGCTCAGCATTAGGGGGCATTCTCCCTCACAAAACCCAGTGCTATGAATTTGGAACGACACAAAAGCAATGCTATGCTCATGCATAGCACCCATTCATTTCACTAGGACCGGTGCAGGAGAACCTCCCTGCGGATTGTGCCATTAGACTTCCCCCCGCTCCTCTTTAAAAGTATCTATCAGTGCAGCTTTCCCAAAGTAAAACAATGGTGGGATCCCTGCTATAGACCAGACATCTGTTTTATGCCACCCCTGTCATTTGGATTTCTTTGGAGCAGGTCTAAAGGCCATTTCACATGACCCTGGATGCCTGCCAAAATGTGAGTTGGCAGTTTGCAGGCTGAATTTGTGCAGATAAACGGTTGTGTGATTGAATCACTATGCACTCAACTCCATCTATCGTCATTCGTTCGTTCAGTTTAGACTCCCATTTTGCCACACGGCTGTTACACCTTTTGGGGTTGGCACGACACAATACGTTACGATAAAGCAAGATCTATCGTAAGATGTTGCAGCCCCACAAGTACTGCTTTGCCATATGGAGAAACCCACCATGCCTAATGACCAACTCATTTCAATGTGATATGAATCAGTCTTAAAGATTGCGATCAAACCATTGGTGATGCTTGATACACAGAGGCTATTTATGCATGAACAGGGTTCTAAATTGTGCAATTGAGGTCACCACACTACAGACATTTAGCGCAAGCTCATGGAGGGTGATGGAGCTGGGCCGTCAGGAGCTAGATAATCTGTGTTCTTCTTGCTGGGGAACACCTGAACAGGATTGTATTTGAAGTTCTTTGCAGCAAAGCACCATTGACTTAGCTACTCATCATTATCAGCTGCTATGGGCATTTTATTAATCTCAGACCTCTGGGGAAAGCTGCAGGGTTGAAGGGTCCTGGAACACAAATGCATAGAGCATATGTCTATCAGTGGCTACCAGCCACAATGGCTATGCTCTGCCTCCATCATTGGATCCAGTAATGCTTTTGAATACCACCTTTATCTTCCAAGGAGCTCAAGGTGTGTACAAGGTTCTCCTCCTCCCCATTTCATACTCACAACAACCCTATGGGGCAGGTTACGCTGAGAGATGTTGACTGGCCCGGGGTCACCCAGTGTGCTTCATGGCTGAGTGGGGTTTCGAACCCTGGTCTCCCAGGTCATAGTCTAACACTCTTAACCATTAGGCCACACTGGCTCTTTCTGTGTGTAATAAACTTTACAGCCACAACAGGTTCCTCCCATGCTGTGGGTGAGATGTACATTAAGGAAGCACAAAATAGAAACAGTAAGGCCCCTGTACAAATTCTTAGTCTTACTTCAAAGGAGAAAATTTTACTTGAATAATTTACCTGGCCCATAATTTACCTGTATGGGCTGCATTCACAATACTTTATTTACCATAATTTAAAGCAAAGTGTTGGTGAAATTGACGTTACAATCCCATATATTCTTACCTGAGAATAAATTCCTTGGAAGTGAATAGGACCTCTGAGTAAACATGCTTAGGATGGCAGTGGATTAGCGTTCTGGATTCGGATTGCATGTAGAGGTTCACATATAAAGATGCACTCTTATGAAAGCAATAATTACCGCTCATCCCCTCCAAGAGGTGGGCGGTGTTTACAACACTGGGCAGGGCTTCCCGGGACCAGGGTGCCACCCACTTTGGCTACAGTGTGGCCGTCGCCCCGCCCCATCTCAGCGAGCCAATGGGTGGGGGCAGGGCAAGGGCCAGAAAAGGACCGTGCTCTTTGGCCCAGGCTCACTTTGTTTGCTTTCCAGGATGGGACAACAAAGCATGCGTTGGGTCATGCTGATGCCCATGCTGTGCAGAGCTGTCACTGCCCATGGCCCGCAAGAGGCATTGATACTGCACCTGGGAGAGATTGACCTGGTAGTGCAAAAAGGCATCAGCCTGGTTCTATCTGCGAAGGCAGACCTTGATATCGTGCATGCCCTATGCCCGGCAATGACCGTGCTCTGGTTCGAACTCCTCCACCGCCAGTGCTAGAGAGTGGCCAATAAACCTTCTCACATCAATTATACAGTGCCAAAAAATTAATAGGGCCATGCATAACACGCCAGATCAGCAGTGTCTCCATTCACCACCCGAGTGGACAATTCTGAGCTGTTTCAGGTGGGCGGAGTACATTTGACCCAACCAGTAACGACCTTTGGTTGCACAATGTGTGTCAGGGCCTCAAGGATTGATGGCTGGCAGGGCACAGCCCTTCTCTTTAGGGGAGGGGCCTTCAGCTGTAGGTATCTTGGCGGCAAGTCCCCAGTTTGGGGTCTCGGGTGGTGGTTTTAGGCCTTGGTTGGTATTCTGTAGTCTATCTTTGTGATGGGGGCAGCATCTTCATGCACCTCCATGCGGCGGTGTTAGCAGGACCCTTTAAAAGGTTGATTGGGCCTGGAGCAGCATCAGAAGGTCAAACTCCCAGCTTCGGCGAAGTGGGAGGGCACACTATACAGTCCCTCCCACACCGCCTGACTGCCCTGCGCATCCTCAGCCCCTGTCAGGTATGAGAGGGATACCTTCCAAGGCCTAAGCCAAGGTTCCTACACCTGAAATTCAATAAAGTTGTGGCCTAATTTTAAACCCATACATTGTTGTCATGTCTCATTCCTGGCGGGTAGGCTCCAGGGACAAAGTTTAGCGCATGGGCCCGCAATATATATTGCTGTGTAAGGGTGGGGAAAGAGAATGAACCTTCTCTGATCAGACTCAACTGATTTTCTTCAGCAGATGTTTAAGAAACAATGACATTTAAAAATAATAATATTGTAGAGTGCATTTAGAAAATGCGTATGATTATTTGTGTCATTTTGAGTAATGTTGAATGCATATGATATTTTATCAATGCACAGATCCCCACTACAAAGTTAGGCTGAACAAAAACCATTGGCTTTTGTTTCTGAAACTTACAGGGAGCTGAGATTTTCTGTGCTGCTGCTTCGTGCTGCTATTGTTTTCTAGGTGATGTTTGTGTGCTGCGTTGTTTGGATATACAAATGCCCCGTCACAGTCCAGAGCCGGAGAAGAAATTAGGTGTAAAGAGTAGAAAACTGGGTAGAGAAAGAGAGAGAGAAATTAAATCTCTTTATTGTGGTGTGTAAAACCTTCAGGGTCGGGAAGCTTTGCAGCTGCGAAGGGAGAAAAATGCATTCACAAAATATAATGCTAGTGTGAATAATCCTTTTTTGGAGTCTCACTTGCAGACTGCTCCAGCTTTGTCAGGTGAACTTGAACTGGGCCATCAGCTTTGCTTTCGTTCCTATTGCACACTGTCTATCACCCGAGGGCATTCAGCATCTTGACTGTTTTAGAAAGAGAGCAAACAATCCATCAATGAACCCAGAGTCACTTTTGCATAGAATAGTAAAATCAGCATGTGACGGTACACTCAGCTCCGGGGTTTTACAGATTAAAATGATACATGACAGCTCACATGTTCCTGGGAAGATTATGTCATTATCTTGTTCCACAGCCAAGAAAGACCATTCCCTGTCTGCACTGAGAAACACTAGTGTTAACCAAGTAGTCACAGTTGCTGATGCTCCGTCCGCAGGAAGAAACTGCTAAAGTTTCCTAAACCAGTGCTGTAAAGCTAAAATAATTCTATTTTACTCTCTGTGTAGGGAAAAGAGAAGGAATCTTCTCTGATCAGACTTATCCTTAACTGATTTTCTTCAGTGGATGTTTAAGAAATTCCTTGTGATGCTCTTTTTTTCAGAATTGTCTCAAGACGCAGATGAAAAGCTGGTGTTTTAGTGTGTGTTGCCTAGAGTTTATACTGCTTTTTATTATGTAGGTGTGTTCTACAACAACTTTAAACATTATTAGACATGTTGTTGGGGCCTGGTCCAAGCAGGACTCCCAGGTATTTGAACAAATACATGCACGTGTAAGTAAAGGTAAAGGACTCCTGGACGGTTAAGTCCAGTCAAAGGCGACTATGGGGTTATGGCGCTCATCTTGCTTTTCAAGCCAAGAGAGCTGGTGTTTGTCAGCTTTCCGGGTCATGTAGCCAGCATGACGAAACCGCTTCTGGTGCAACGGAACATCAGGACAGAAACCAGAGCACACAGAAACGCTGTTTACCTTCCTGCCACAGGGGTACCTATTTATCTGCTTGCACTGGCGTGCTTTCAAACTGCTAGGTTAGCAAGAACTGGGACAGAGCAACAGGAGCTCACTCCGTCGTGAGGATTTGAACCACCAACCTTCTGAATGGCAAGCCCAAGAGGCCCAGTGGTTTAGACCACAGCACCACCCACTCCTTTACCATCGACCACTTGAGGTTTTCTTGTGGAGACTTTGAACTGTGGATTACTGCCCAGCATGATCCTATAACAACCTACAGGGCCTCTAAATAAATATACTATGGGTGGTAGCCAACTAAATGTGACTCAGAGTAGACCTATTTAAAATAATGCACCTGTCTTAGGCATGTCCATTGATTCCAGTGGGTTTACTCTGGGTAAAACTTACTTGAATACCACCCTCTGGGGTTATTTTTTCAGAAGCTATAGCTGCAGTGACCTGGAGTAATATAAAATATGCAAATATGACAAAGCCAAATTTAGAGAAAGCAAACGAGATGGTAAACGTGGGTCTTGACTGTACCAATTCAGGTGGGGCACCATGCAACTAAATGTCCCCCTATACAAGCAATTAGAATTCCTGCACTAGATGTCAGAGAGGTAGGTTCAAGTCTTGTAGTCTGGGTGCCATAATACTTGTCTGAATGTTTGGCGAGTGAGGAACATCACCTCACGATAGACTCACTAAAGTATGAAGTGCCATAATTTGGAGGACAAACGATTCCTATCGCATACATTTCAGAGAGCGCTAGGCCAATGTGTAGCAACAAATTTCACAACTGAAGCTAAACGAATTAGCAGTGGTTTTATTCAGGGGTGTGTGCAACACTTGGAATAAATCCCTAGCTAATTTTTAGTTCCTTTGATTAAAATTAATGATCCCCAATGGATGGGGGATGCGGGTGGTGCTGTGGGTAAAGCCTCAGTGCCTAGGACTTGCTGATCGTATGGTCAGCGGTTCGAATCCCTGCGGCAGGGTGAGCTCCTGTCATTCGGTCCCAGCTCCTGCCCACCTAGCAGTTCGAAAGCACTCTTAAGTGCAAGTAGATAAATAGGTACCGCTTTATAGTGGGAAGGTAAATGCCGTTTCCGTGTCCTGCACTGGTTCTGGCTCACCAGCTGCAGCTTCGTCACGCTAGCCACATGACCCGGAAGTGTCTTCGGACGGCGCCAGCTCACGGCCTATAGAGCGAGATGAGCACGCAACCCTAGAGTCGGACACGACTGGCCCATATGGGCAGGGGTACCTTTACCTTTACCTTTAATGGATGGCAAGGCTTAGATTTGAAACGCAAGGTGTATGAAATGACACATTAGAATCCCAATGTTATATTTAAAATAAATCACCATTTCTAATACACTTCTGCAAGTGCAGAGTTGGGAAATCCCAGCTGAAGGTGATCATTTCTGCTACTGACTTCACTGAGAGTGCTAAGGAGACATTTAATCTCAGCTGTCCAATGTTTATAATGTCACGTACACAGCACAGGGTATTTGAACAAAAACCTAACTACAAAGCAGTAACAAAACAGTACGGCACTTTCATTAAACATCACCTGAATCATGTTGAGATGCTCAAATTTGCACACTGTAAAACCAGTTTGCTGGAATTACCTCTTTTTATCAGGTCAACATCTTGACTCAGGGCGGGCAGAAGAGACAGAGGGAGAGAGCCCAACCCTGATCTAGCAGGATTCTCGCATTCATCTCAGAACCAACATGTCAAGGCCATGTCAATCTCACTTATCCTCTGAATTACACAGCACTTCATTCTTCACCTGAATAGTAAGTGCACTAATATTTGCAGCGCTGCTGCTTCTCAGCATGCATGAATCCAGGATAACAATTAAAAGGGAAACTGTGTTAATTATTCATTTTGAAGAACAGGCAGAGAGGAGGTGGCAGGGTGACCTGCATTCCCCTTTGGATTAAACATTGCCTGGGTGTAATCAGCTATGATGATGAAATCATCTCCTCGTCCATCTGCAAGGCGGGAGCTGAATGAGCAACGCGCTGCTGAGACTCTCAGCCGCCTCTGTCATCTTCCCTGAGAAAGACCCTAACCCTTTCCTGCACCAGTGCAATGTTGCACCAGCAACATGTAGCAGTAAGAGAATAGGGAGTTGTGGGATATAACTGTATGGCGCTCTGTCTAGTTTCTCTATTTTACAATAACATTGCCTTGCACATAGGATTGTTGGCATGTCAGAAGCCCATAGATAGTCCAGCTTCTTTGAATTGTTCAGCTTTGGGTTTTTAAAACACCAAGGGGGGAAATTACATTTCTTTCAATGAGAATGAAGATTGCTAAACTCTCCTACTGAAATCAGTGGTGCTTGAAAATGCTTAACTTTGAAGTACCTCCAACACACATTTATAGCACATGACTTTCCCCCAGAGAACCCTGATAACTGTAACTTGTTAAGGATACTGTGAGGGGAAAACTACAGCTCTCCGGATTCTTTGAGGGGAGTTGTGTGATTTAAATGCCTGGATTATCTCGAGACCAAGGGTAGCAAACCTGCAGCCCTTCAGATGTTACTGGACTACAACTCCCATCGTTCTTGACCACAGAGCATGCCATCTGAGTCTGATGAGACTGAAAGTCTAACAACATCTGGAGGGCCACAGGTTCCCCTACCTTGGTTCCAGACGTTTTACTTCTCTGTAGACAGTATACTGTATTTCCCAGTTGCTCACATTCATGTTTTTTCTTTTCTTTTTGGCAACAAATTAACGAGTGTTGTTTGGGAGCCTGTTCAGAATTATTTATCTTGTTCTCTTTACCTATTATCCGTTGGTTTGCTATGGGGTTTGGGTAATAATTTATATTTATTGTTGACTGGTATTTTTAATACCTAAAAATTATAACCACCTCAGAAACCAACAGAAACCAGACTTTGAATAAATTGAGGGATCAATCATCCATGTGTCATGAGAAGCAGTGGTTCCCAGATTGTGATTATAGTACATTTCAGGTATATAGGATCACTTTGTCAGGGAATACTCAGGGGAGGGGAATAGAATTCTCTAAAAACAAAAACTATCCCCTTTCCCACTTCAAGTACATTCTTCTGGTCCCTGCTTTCTGTTCCTGTGATCAGTTTTGGCCCACAAGACCTACCAAGTGTAACATGTATCTAACACGTCCTCCTAGAGCTGCATTGAGAGAAGCAGGAAGTGACAGTTATAGGCTTAGGAGCTTCTCACAAGTTCTTTCGTCTCTGTGGCCCAAATTTACATTATTTACAGAAATCCCCACAAGTCCAAAAAACTTCAGTGACTGTGCCTAAGGAATGACGTCTCTGGTCCTGGCCACAGCTGACAGTGTTGGTCTTCAAAGAAATACTAGCCTTTCTCCCCTCAAAAACATTGGTTCCTACCACTCCGATCCTAGAACAACTGGTCGTTGTCTTATGAAGGATTAAAATAAGTGTAAACATTAATTTTCATCATCGACTACAGAATAGTTTGTACCCGCAGGTCTTTGCCTTCCAGAGCCAATGATGGGACCCAAATGTGCAGGTGGCTCCCTGGATACAGTCATTATGTGGATATAAGTTCCTTAAAAGTCAATGCAACCGAGCTCTGGGCTTCCTGGAGACATCTGGCATGTCTCCTGTTGAAAACAGGATGTCAAGACTTGATGGATCCTCGATAGACCCATTCAGTAGGGCAGGGCTCTTTTTGACTCCCAAGCAATGTTTTTAGGATCAGTATTATTACCTTTCATTTTTCTTCAACAGACATCTTGGGCCATTACTGCTCATTTTAATCATTTCCCCATCCAATAAGTCTGGTGACATTTCCATTCAGTTATGCTGTACGTCCTCCGCTGACATGCAAGGGGTTGGGTAGTAAGGTCTTTTTGTTCTCCTTCCTTGGCTCAATGGCACCAGTTGATCTCAGCAGAGGCATAGTCCAAACTGATGTTTTCGAAGCTGGTGATGGGCGCGGGATGCAGTTTCCCCCCTAGAGTAGGCCATCATGTTAATCAGGGTTGATTTGTAAACGGCGTCTCCCCACCCCCAATCCCTTTGCTTGACTCCCGCTTTTCTGCTCAATGGCACAGATGCTGCTTTGTGCTGCCTGAGACCAGGCAGCTATTAACAGCAAATCCAGCAAAGGGAATTAATGAAGGAGTCTACTAATAAAAGACAGCTCAGGACAGCCAGACCAACTTGCTCCGAGCAGTAATTAACTTTTTAAAATACTCATGAAGGTAAATATTCCATCAGTGATGGCCCATGCTCTCCTCTTTTTTCCCCTTTTTTAATAAAGGCAGGAGAGAAAGGAAAAAGGGGTAAGGGGAACACTCTGATCCCAAGAAGCTTTAAGACTATCAATTGTCCATGCCAATAAGAACCATTTTCAGTGAGTTGCTGAGATTTCCTTCTCTTTCCAAGTCCCCAGCACAGAAAATATGGAGCAATTCTCAAGAGGCCAAGACAGAAAAGATCCAAGCAAGAACTTCTCCATAATTAAAATAATTCAGAAAGATTAACTAGACTGCATTATGGATGGGTTGATCCCCTCCCAGAGGACTGTAATTGTATTACCATTCTCTTTTGTTATGAATTTGGATCTTAATAATATTCAACAACACTGTTAAAAAAACAAATTGTCAAGGAAGCTTTGGCAGAGAACACCCTTGTGGGTTGTGTCCTAAAATCAACTGTCATGCTTGGGAAGCCCATCCAAAAAGAATCTTTTTTGGATCAAGTTCTTATAGCTAAATGGGCATGCTTGTAGCTGCTTATAATGGGCAAAAGCTCGGAGACGTTGAACTCTATGGCTGCTTGTAAAGGTAAAGGGACCCCTGACCATTAGGGTCCAGTCGTGGCCGACTCTGGGGTTGCGGTGTTCATCTCGCTTTATTGTCCAAGGGAGCTGGTGTACAGCTTCTGGGTCATGTGGCCAGCATGACTAAGCCGCTTCTGGAGAACCAGAGCAGCGCACGGAAACGCTGTTTACCTTCCCGCCAGAGTGGTACCTATTTATCTACTTGCACTTTGATGTGCTTTCGAACTGCTAGGTTGGCAGGAGCAGGGACCGAGCAACGGGGGCTCACCCCATTGTGGGGATTCGAACCACCGACCTTCTGATCGGCAAGTCCTAGGCTCTGTGGTTTAACCCACAGCGCCACCTTACAGGCTTCCTATTTCAAGAGCTTGTGTGAGTTGTGCACCAAAAGCAAAGGAGCTTTGCTTTTGGGAGTGGAAAAATATATACCAGATATGGGTAAAAACAGGCCACAACTTCATAGGTTACAGACTGGTTAGGCATAGAGTGAGGATCAGTGATCATTGGGGAGCTGGCATGCTATCTGATGCTCCACCAACATCCCAGCCCTACTGCTGAGCCCCTCCAGGTCATAGCCAGCAAAGGTCCTGCTGTGGTACAGGCCAGGCATGAGAGTTAAGCTGACAACCTAAGTAAGCAGTGCACAGCGCCCCCTTCCTGAGCCAGGGCTGGGGAGAACCATGCACAACACCTTGAGCTCCTTCAAGGAAAGGTGGAATATAACAGCAATCATAAATAGCAGTAAGTGTCATCAGATAAAACATAAAGGGATCACACAACTGTATAGGTAATTCCTACTCTTGCCACATCACTGTCCACACATGCAGTGTGGGAGAACGGGGCTCTGTCGACATGCTGACGCATGCATGTACAGTTCCTCCACACAAGAGAGGGTCCTGAGTGGAATAGGAGACCACAACTTGGTGTGATTATACTCTTTGTAAATAGAGTAGTACACATGCAGGGCCCTTTCTCATGGGTGCCAAATGAGTATAGCCAGGGACAGGGCTAGACCATAGAGCCCTGAGACATGTTATTTGAACACATGAGGAGGGGTGTCTGAAACCCTTTATCTCTCAGTCTCAACATTCACATTTGTAGTATGAACATACTACTCACTTGCAGGGCTGTCTTAAGCGTTGAAGGTTTCATACATTCATAACAGCGTGTATTACCATTAGACCAGAGTATGAGTTGAGTATTATATTTTTGATGCATCCTAAAAGGAATCGGCAGCAGTGCATCTAAATTCAAGCAGCAAGGGCAACAGTGTTTGTTTTTAATGTCAGGAAGGGTCATTGTTATGAACTCTGATGCTGAGTTGATTAAATTGGCCAGACCGAACTGGAATAAAGTACCAGATTTTGAAGTCTTCATATCTGTACCTTCCTTTTACTTACAGAGATTGTAGTCCAAGCTAATGAGGCCATTTCAAAAATTTGAACAATTCACAAGTCCAAGTTGCGCACTGCGGATGGGATTCACCTATCGTGCCCCATCAGCAGAAGCCCTGCACAAGAACCTTTGCTTGTACAACAATGCTTCCTACATCCCCCCTTCCGTGCCCCCCATGACTGGGTGGGGGGTCAAGAGAACCCACAGAACAGCATGCTGGGGGAGGAGAGGGGTTTCCATTCCATCTGGCTTGCGCAGACATAACATTTGTAATAGCCCAGTGTTGAATTGCACCTTGGGCATTTTAAAATAAAATATTCAACTGGGCAGGAAAAACAAATACTAGGGCTTAAATCTGCTCATGGGAAAAGCCAAGTCAGATTAATCCTTGATTCACGATGTGTATATATATATATATATATATATATATATATATATATATATACACACCCTACTAGTTTGAGTGTAGAAATAAAATTTGTTTTGGCTCATACATTTTGCAAGCAAAACTGCTACTTAGGTGGGTGGGTGTTTTGATCGGTCAAAAGAGAGCATCTAGTTCTCTCCAATATTGTTCATACCTATGAAAATAAGATTAGGGGACACAATTCCTTTCTCTTGTTCAATTGCCCAATTGTGTGGTTGAGTGCAGCTGCCCTGAGCTGCCTGCCACAGAGTCAAAATCTTCCCAATAAGCTTTCGGCGCTCGCCTAGAAAACACAGGCTTAGCTCCCATTTAACTGCCAGCCTCGCTCCTGGCTCTGTTTTATTCCTTCACGCTGAGTTTATCTGATTACTTCAGCCATGTGAAACAGAAGGCCTGTTGACACTCTCAAGTGAAGGCCTCGGTCTCATGTGTGGCTGGAGATCATCAGTGATTCTGTGAAGAGGCAGAAATAAGCTCTAGAGGAACACTGGGATGGCTTGAATGGAGCCAGCATTATACATATTTCTGTCACGCAAACAAATGAGGAATGACTGTGTTGATGTACAGCAGGCACTAGTTCCTCAGACTGCTGGCAATGAAAATATGGCAGAAGACACATCACCGTGATTGGTTGAACATCTATCCCCTCTAGGAACTGGGGTTCTGTGAGGAGTGGGACCAGAATTCTTAGCACAGAATCCCCAAACTACAATTCCCAGTATTTTTTAAAGGGC